ACACACACACACACACACTGCTATGACGAAGATCCTGGTGCTTACAACTACACATCAATTTCAGTGGCGTGAGACGGGACAATATCCCGGGCAGTCCCCCGTGGAAGGAAGATGAGGTTATGATGGTCACCTGGGGTAACTATTATTATAAATAAGATGTCTTACAAGAGGGCAATTTATTTCTGATTGTTGGGTTTACCCTACAAGCACAATGTTAGCTGAAGCCCCTCAAAGGAAGGTGGAAAACCTTGGAATCTGTGAAAAGGCTCTTGTTCCAGAGGATTAATATTATCCGTTCCATTTCCTGGATGAAATATGATTACCTCCCAGTAACCAGGTGCCACTGTATTTCTTGTTATGTATTTTAATTAATATGTAACGGCTTGTCAACGCTACTAGAGAGCGAAACGTTGCCACAGAAAAATGTCACATTAGTTGCACTTGTGATCTCTTACCTAAACATACTATTGGTTTCATGTACACGTGGTGTACACTTTGTATACACTCAATGTACACTAAACTCGTGTAGGCAAATATAATTACAGTGATCCCTTGTACACTAAATAGATACCAGGGAGTTAGGTGTTGTAGATCACATTGTGCTGAAGACGATGCAAGGTAAGAAACACTGCTTGCGCTACCCGGCTTATACACACACTCACACACACTATATATATATATATATATATATATATATATATATATATATATATATATTATATATATATATATATATATATATATATATATATATATGTCGTGCAGGGGTTAGTTTAATATGTTTATTATGCACCCCATACCCATCCTGTGGGCGGTAGTCAAAAGATTACAGAGGTACATAATTGGTCCAGGGACTGGACTCCAAAGTTTTGATATCTGAGCAAGTTACAAAGGTAATGAACTAGATCTGGTCATAATCATGACCAAGTTACAAAGGTAATGAGCTCCAGGCAGAGCTGGTCACAAGATGAAAAGCTGTAAGCCTTCTTCCTGAAAGCTGGCTGCCTTGGATCAAAGTCTAGCGCAAGCTGGACTCCAAGGTATTGGTCCAGTGTGGGTAGATTGGTAAAGCACTGCATACCTTGTTCCAAGGTTCGTAGGTTCGAGTCTCCTTCAGCCAGAGATCAGTGTTTGTGTATATTTCACCTGCTTTTGCGAATTCCTTGCATATATATATATATATATATATATATATATATATATATATATATATATATATATATATATATATATATATATATATATATATATGTCGTGCCTATAGTGTGTGTATATATATTCTTGAAGGGAGGGACAGGGAAGGTAGGTTGGTCTAGTGTTGTTGAAAAGCTCTTGATCCGATTGAAATTGGAGTTTTTGGAGGTAACATCAATTAACATTTTGAATAGTTACGAAGTAAACGAAGTGGTTCACCCTACAAAACCTGCAGTCCCGAAACTCCAACGAACTCCCACGGATTCCCAAACTTTCCCAGGGACTCTCAAGAATTCTCAGGGAACTCCCAAACTCTCCCAGGGACTCTTAAATGCTCCCAGACTCTTCCAGGGACTCTCGTATAATCCCAGACTCTCCCATGGACTCCCATGGACTCTCAAGGACTCCCAGGTTTTGTGCACCTAGCAGAATACATGTCATGCAGAAACCGATTGTTAAGAAGCCAGGTGAGTGATGATCCCTCAGTTGGACACTTTCCAAGAAAGTGACTTTGTGATGTCTGAGCTAAAAAAAAAATACAGCAGAATTCTTTATTATAATCGGTAGAAATGAATAGAATTATTATTATTATTATTATTATTGTTGTTGTTGCTGTTGTTGTTGTTGTTGTTGTTGTTGTTGTTGTTGTTGTTGTTGCTGTTAGTAGTAGTAGTTATATATGGAAAATAGCAAATCCGTGGGAGCCCCGTAGCTCCTGGGGAATGAGAGATCATTAGAGTTGACCCGAGGAAGAGGAGGATGGCTTCAATTCCTTGGATCGAGAGCAGCTCACCAGCATGCATCTTGAGGGTAAACTGAGAGAAAGGAGACTACAGAAACGACTTTGAACGTCTCTCACTACTCTCTTATTACTAAATTAAAAACATCCTGGAAGTGTGATGAAGATATTGCTTTATTACAGTGGAAGCCTGGATCACACGGCCCTGCAACGTCTGTGCTGCCTCCAGACACCCCGCAGAGCCAGTGGAAGCCTGGAACACACGGCCCTGCAACGTCTTTGTTGCCTCCAGACACCCAAAGAACCAAGCTTATACATTGCATGCATCTCGATAACTTCTTTAAAAGAAGAATTACGCATGAAGGGTTAATAACCCAGAATAACCCATAAAAACAAACCAAAGTGGCTTATTTCTATTGGAATCCTTAGGTTCTTTCTCAGGTTGTGTCCCACAACATCCGACTAACTCCCAGGTACCTATGTTTTGCGAGGTGAACAGGGGCATCAAGTGTAAGACTTGCCTGAACGCTCCTGCAACCAGGTGATTGAGAACTTAATCTGTGGTAATTATTACTAATGAATCCAGTGTACTCTCTGATGGTGGTCAAGGCTGCTATTACCAGTAGCATCCTTCGAAAATATACCGTGATGCTTGTCAAGGTTGGTACTAGTAGTTCTGTCACCTTGATGCTTGTCAAAACTGCTGGCACCAGCAGCATCTTTCAGGGAGGTGCATTGATGGTTATCAAGGCTACTGATACTAGTACCGCTTTTTAAGTTAGTGTCTTGATACTTGTCAAGGTTGCTGGTACCAGTAGCACCTCTCGAGGTAGTGCCTTAATACTTGTCAAGAGTTCTTAGTGCAGGAAACTATAGTTTTCCCCACTTTACTCCTTCCTCGAATTGAAACCCATTACGACCATTCTCCCGGCACTGCGCCACTCCTATGAGCATAATGACAAGAACAGATGGCGGCATCAACATCACTCATAGACGTAAATAGTATCAGCGGAAGTGGCAGAGCACTGGTCACACCAGTACACACTCATCTCAAGGTCTCAGCAAATTGTCTGTTCTAACTGAATGACGACGTTTTGGCCCATACAGTATTTATGAATTGCCAGTTATGATACTGTCTTGTGTTCTTCTAAAGGATCGTTCCCGTTGTTGTCACTTACAGACCAGATACATGTTTTTTCGAGGTTTGTATTACATGTTATTGTTAGGAAACTGGTGTAGATTCATAAGTAGTTGGTGAAGGTTGGTGCCTAAGCCGTACTGGTGTCCGAGTCGTGCTGGTGTCCGAGTCGTGCTGGTGCTTGTGCTGTGTTGGCGACAGGTGCGCAGCAACGCTAGCGGGTATTCCCCCCAAACATCTATATTTTAGGGAGACGCTTCAAGATCCGAGATAATGAGTTGCCTGCTTCCAGGAAGTTCCTGCGTCAGACGATCACATGGTTTTAACACTGTTTATGACCACCAGTGACAGGTGCCTCTGTGCCAGGCCATCACAACACACCACAGGTTTCATCCTCTCGTCCATAGCAATCTTAATATATTGCTCTGTTGTGATCCATTGTTGTATAAAAGAAGTTAGAAACTTCCCAGAGGCAGGGATTCTTACCGGGTCATAACCTGACAAAAGCCAACATCAGCAGATATTTTCCTGATGGACAAAACACCACATTATTTTATCCCCAAAAGTCACAACATTTCTTCATACTTTGTTTCATCTCAAAATTATTATTATTATTATTATTATTATTATTATTATTATTATTATTATTATTATTATTATTAGGTGTCATCGAAGGGGAAACTTAAGTGGTTGCCTGATTTCTTGCTTTTTATCCAACTTTTTTTTTATGTTATTTCGTTCATAACTCGAGAACCCTTCATCCGATTGGATTCAAATTTTTGCTGTTGCATGATAACGAGGAACAAGTGGCATGTGCAGGAGCCCTGTGACCAAAGTTATTAAGCCCATTCCTGGAATGGCTCAGATAACTTCCAAAATCCTCAGAGGCAGATCTTCAAATGTCCCAAAAAGATGCCTCATAATTTGAGGATGGTGAAGAGTGAAATTCATTGGGTAATTGATCCATATGACCATTTTATGTGTAAAGTTTTTATACCCGTTTAAGTGCTTGTGGAATATTACACAGCGTTGGGGAATCGTTTTGATTTGAGGAGTGGGGATGGTAGATCCAGTTAAGTGGATCAAGAGCCCTTCCCCGTAGCTCGGTTGCTAGCGCACTCAGCTCACACAATCAGGTCCGGGGGTCGATCCCCGATACGGGTGGAAACATTAGGGCGTGTTTCCTTAAGACACCTGCTGTCCATGTTCACCTAACACTAAGTAGGTACCTGGATGTTAGTCGACTGGTGTGGGTCGCATTCTGGGGACAAAATTAATTTTCCTGAAATGCTCTGCATAACCAGGGACTTCCTATACAGTATGTAACTGATGTCAGTTATGGTCTTTATAAGTTGTATCATGTACTTGTAGAAAATAAATATTATTATTATTATTATTATTATTATTATCTCCTTGCAGGGAAAGATAAACGGGTCTGTGATTACTGTAAAATTTTATAAGATACCCCTTAAATGTTTCGTTTTTTATGAGTATTAAACTAAAGAAAATTGTAAAAGGAGAAACTTAAATATATAGTTAGCTATGTCTGTTGTACTCGATAATAATCTTAATTTCTATAAGTACATGATACAACTTATAGAGACCATAACTGACATCAGTTATAGTATATAGAAAGTCCTTGTTATGCAGAGCATTTCGGGTAAATTAGGTTAATTTTGTCCCCAGGATGCGACCCACACTAATCGGCTAACACCCAGGTACCTACTTACTGTTAGGTGAACAGGGACAGCAAGTGTCTTAAGGAAACACCCCAATGTTTCCACTCGTACCGGGGATCAAACCAAGGACCTCAGTGTGTGAGCTGGGTGCGCTGCCAACCGAGCTACGGGGAAGGGCTCTTGATCCACTCAACTCGTACATTATTAATTACCACAAATATTTTAATAAAACTTCCAGAGTCATGTCATTACTAGTTTATTGCTATGAAAATTTGGAATTCATACATAAAATAATACATAATCCAGAATAGTAGTTAGAGGCTGATATCAATGCTTAAAGTCTAAAAGAGTACGATACTAATAGTTTCACTTCCGGTGGAGCTGAGAGTCTGGGTAGACAGCAGTGACGAAGATTAGTCTCCATTCTTACAAATCAATTTCTTCCTCAGAGGCTGAAGACTGTTCACGGTCATCTTCTTGCTGCTGGTTATTGTGAGAATTCTGTAAGTCCAGCTGACTGACAGACTGGTCAGGACTCCTCTTGAAAGCTGTCGACCGGTCACTGAAGGACTGGTCGAGGGTCTGAGACAAGGGTGGGCGGTATGGTGGAGGTACCGGGATGCGCTGAGGTCGGTTCACTAAGCTGGGTCTGAGAAACACATGTAAACAATGCGTCAGTCATTCTCATAAATATATTGGATTATGGAATGCCAGGCGTTAACTTTCCAGACACAAATAGCTTTAGAAATACTATATTCTGTTCTTAGACAGTGCTAATATTCCTTAAAAAATGTTAGGAAATATATTTTAAATATACATAACCCTCACAATATGGCAGAAATATATAAATAACACACTTGGAAACATGTAAAGCTTATTTACAAATGTCACAAATTCAGGAGATTCGCAAACTGGAAGGTAATAGGGGAATTGAGTCGTTCCTGAAGGATACACCAGAAGGAAGGTGAAGAGGTAGGAGGAAGGGAGAAGAAAAGTGTAAATTTCAAGATCTATGGATGAGGCAGGACCCACCTGCCTGAGTGCACAGGAAAGGCACGATAGCCATTCTCGTCAGCGATGTACTCCATGATGATGAGCTTGCCGTTGGGCGCCGTGTACCTGAAGGAAGAATAAAAAGATACAATACCGTGACAGAGAACAATACACAATTAATTCACACATAAAGCAAGAAACTTATGAAACTTTCATTTGCCTATGTGAAGCTTATTTGTGTATTATACCTGAAGAATCAACAGGATCAGGAGAGGGACGTATAGTTAACGTAACAAATCTGTATGTCGATTACCAACCGGGAGATAGAGCCTCCATAACTCCTTCCTCTGGGTGACCCATGCGGGTTTACTACTTCACATAAAAGAAACATGTCTCATAATAATTCTTAAGGTAGATAAACATTTACACTTTTCTGACCACATTTTTTTACTAACTAGCGATAAATCAGAGTCAGAATTAAATTCGCTTCTTTCTCGTTTATAATGATTTACGCGCTATTAAATAACCATTCTTGCCAGGATAACATGTTGTCTAAGAATTTGTATTGGCTTAGCGCTTCTTTTTGATTATAATAATAATAATAAGAATTTGTAATATAACCTGCAGTATTGATTACCATTTTGCGTACGTCTGCACTCTCATATAGGAGGTGGCAAATACGGCCCGCGGGCCATGTCAGGTCCACCCACAAATTATATCCGCTCCACTATTTAATGTCTCCAATTTAAGAAAAGCTTCGCTTTGATTTGATTATGCCCTTGTCAGGAGCGTTGTGTTGAGCTGTCATATTAATATTACCTTTCGGATTAGGTGTGTTTTACTTTGATTTCAAGACAGATAAATTACTTTAGTTCCCTCTGTTAATCTTGGGGCAGTGCACGTCAGCGACACCTGTGTTCATGTGTTCGTACCTTCACGTGCCCGTCTGGTTGGCATTTCTTTCTTATCCTGGTTACTTTGTTTACTTATTACTCAGGAGAAAGGTCCCCTCATGGAAGGTTCCTTGATGTTGGTGAGGGGCTCTTGATTTAGGGAATTGGATCTGTGCTCCAGTTCCCCGAATTAAGCCTGAATGCCTTCCACATCCCCCCCTCCCCTGGGCGCTGTATAATCCTATGGGTTTAGCGCTTCCCCCTTGATTATAATAATAATAATCAGGAGAAAGGTACTGGGTGTTTCACTTAGCGTCTTTCACTGTAAGTATCTGCTCTTGTAAAAGCTTTTGTTACTTTGTATAAGGGAACACTGTGATGCTCTGTATTATGCAAATGTCAAATGGATTAGTGAGAGTGGTATTTAGTCATGAAAGGAAAATATATGGATCTCCGAAGTTGAATGATGTAATTTTTTTGTTAATTTTACATTCGTCGTTCGTATTATGGACCACATGAATGAACTCCATTCAAAACGAGTTATAATGTTAATATATTTATGATAAAAATTACTTTTTTTATTTGATCAGGTAGAAAACAAACAGTTAGCCTAAAGATTATAGTTTATGCAGAAAACCTTATAACTTGTATACCGAATTTCCTCATTGATTCCAAGATTTCAAAATGATCAGGCATATATTTGGGCTATTATTAGACATATTTTCAATTTTAAAGCAAATAAAGTGTTTTGCCTGTGAAACTTATCTGATCAATTTAAGCTGGTGATGTGGCCCGCCAGTCAAAATAATAGTCCACCCCTGCCTATGGGAAAGAAAATCTCTTGTTTAGTTTGATATCAATAACCAGGAAGCTTACTGGAGGTGGTCCTGGTACAAGAGCTTACTGGAGGTGGTCCTGGTACAAGAGCTTACTGGAGGTGGTCCTGGTACAAGAGCTTACTGGAGGTGGTCCTGGTACAAGAGCTTACTGGAGGTGGTCCTGGTACAAGAGCTTACTGGAGGTGGTCCTGGTACAAGAGCTTACTGGAGGTGGTCCTGGTACAAAAGCTTCCTGGAGGTTGGTCCTGGTACAAGAGCTTACTGGAGGTGGTCCTGGTACAAGAGCTTACTGGAGGTGGTCCTGGTACAAGAGCTTACTGGAGGTTGGTCCTGGTACAAGAGCTACTGGAGGTGGTCCTGGTACAAGAGCTTACTGGAGGTGGTCCTGGTACAAGAGCTTACTGGAGGGTGGTCCTGGTACAAGAGCTTACTGGAGGTGGTCCTGGTACAAGAGCTTACTGGAGGTGGTCCTGGTACAAGAGCTTACTGGAGGTGGTCCTGGTACAAGAGCTTACTGGAGGTGGTCCTGGTACAAGAGCTTACTGGAGGTGGTCCTGGTACAAGAGCTTACTGGAGGTGGTCCTGGTACAAAAGCTTCCCAGAGGTTACGCGACGGGTCAAAGATGATTACCTGTTACTAGCTACACCAGCAAAATTTTATCCGTGGTGTGTGTACTCGCTTAATAGTGTTTGCGTGGGTTGATTCACAGCTCCCAGCCTTCTAAATTACTATCCACCGGGTTAACTTCCTCCTGGCCATCAGTATCTGATCATACCAACTCCTGCAACTCTGCACGATGTTTCCTTCCACCATCTCTTCATCTAGTGAGTTTCAATTGGTTCCCTGAGACTGATAGTCTTTCCTAACGTTCCTATGGCTCATTTGCGTTTTTAGCTGCCATTTATGAGTAAAGGTCACCCGTATAATATAAAAAATAAAAATTTGTTGTCTTTCCCATTAAATGCAGTTTAGACACTTCTGATTTAAAATTATGATAATTTATAAGTTTGTTTCTTCACATCTCCAACAACTTGTTTCTTTCCAGTTTATCTATCTGATCTTCTGAGTATTATTTGCCATAATTGTGTTCTCCCCCTCTCCCATCCCTCCCCGGTCCTTCATACGTATGTTTGCTAAGTTGATTTTCCTCAGTACTCGCCTATTTGAAGTTGTGAGGGCCGAGTCTCAGCTCCTGGCCCTGCCTATACCTTATACGTTGTGTGTGTGTGTGTGTGTGTGTGTGTGTGTGTGTGTGTGTGTGTGTGTGTGTACTCACGCTCATGCTCGTGTACATATTTTGTGAGTGGTGGAGACATGACACCCACTTTACCAATCAGAACTGTCATGAGCAACACGTGACCATGTAGGGGCGGGGCTTGACACCTGTCCGCCCCGCCCCTCCAAGCAGCATCAGTGGCACTTACGAGTAAGATCCTGTGACTTCGTGGGTTACGGGGCTGGTGAGCCGGGCTCCTTCCTCCCGCAGGATGCCGTCCCCGGTGGAGAACCTGACGAGCACAAAGAAAGAAGGAGAAGTAAATAATGCCAATGGCTTTTTCATAGTATGGGAAGTAATCGAGTTTTATTCAACAAAGGAGAGGGTAGCTGCACTTTCTTTTGACCAAAAGTCCCAAACAAGCATTAAGAAACTTCTCGAAGGGCAGACTGTAACAAGAAGACTTACGTGAAGTAGTAAGAGCCGTCTTGGAAGGGGCCGTCACGCTGATCTTCAAGGATAGGTACAGCAGGCCTCAACGCTTGCCGATTCTGCAACTGTGACTCCGCCTGCTGGAGCTGTGCCCGAGTCTGCAACAGCTGCGCCTCGTTCTTCAGCAGCTGTGCCCTCTCCAGTTGCGACTGCGTCTGCAGCAGCTGTGCTCGCTGTAGCTGCGCCTGCCGCAGTCGAAGTGCTGCCTGCTGGCGACGAAGCTGCCTCAGACGCGCGAGTTCGAGTTGTTGTCTTCGTTCTTGCTGCCTGCGACGTTCCTCGCGCAGACGAAGAGTTTCCTGTTGCCGACGGATAGCCAGCAGCTGCTGCTGTAGAACTTGCTGCTGCTGCTGGGGACTGAGAATTGGCCGCTGACGAACTACTCTTTGCTGGTTTCCGAGGGATGTTTGATCTATTATAAGAGGTTCTTGCTGCACCGCTAGTGGTTGTTGTTGCTGCTGTTGCAAGATGAATGATTCTTGCTGCAAGTTAAGTGGTCCTTGCAGTGATGAATCTTGCTCCAGTACCAGTGGCTGTTGTTGCAACGACAAAGTTTCCTGGTCTAAGAGAAGCGGATCTTGCACTAAGAGGGAATCTTGTTGAGTTAGAGACAGCTGCTGCAGTGGTTGCTGTTGTACCACCACAGGTTGCTGCAGGAACCTTTCCTGCGTCAACAGAGGCTGTTGCGTCAACAGAGGCTGTTGCGTCAACAGAGGCTGTTGCGTCAACAGAGGCTGTTGCGTCAACAGAGGCTGCTGCGTCAACAGAGGCTGCTGCGTCAACAGAGACTGTTGCGTGCGAACGGTCGCCACTAAGCCCAAACAGAGAACCTGGAAAACACACAAGGGCTTAATTATTAAAGCTTACTCCAGACACGAAGCGAGATGGACTGTCATAACATCCTGAAGACGTAACACACACACCAGTACGGGTCAGCGCTGCGAATAAGGTACCTTAAAATGATGCAAAAATCAATGTTACTACACGATATCTCCATGACCCTTGTGAGTTTAGCACTTAGTTTTTATTTCAATAGTACTACGCGATATTTTAGGTGGCATAAATTCACCATCATGTGTTATTAACTAGAGGTGTATGTAACACAGGAGGCCTGATCCTCCGATATCCCAGACGGCTATTGCATCGGGACTTCATCTAGAATAACTGGCATATTATAGGAGTTACACTCCTCAAGAGGGTACCTTGATGCTTGTGAAGGACTCTTGATCCAAGGAATTAGAATGACCCTCCCCTTCGTTGGATCAAAACTGACTCTCATTCCCCAGGTACTGTAACACTGAGGGAAGGGGGCGCAATACTACTTCATATTTTAGACTATATGATCATAAGTTCGGCAACATTGTTTTTTACTGGAATTGATATAATAGTTACTGAGAGTATTGTCAAACACTGAGGTTAGACATTGGTGTTTTAAAATATATAACTGTCCTATTTAATACCAACATGTATATAAAGGACGTGTGCAACGTGAGGTAACCTTATTATAAAACTGACAAAGACCCCACGAGGGTCTTTCTCAGACGATAAGGTCCCTGACAGGTTAAACAATTTCAAAATAAAGTTACCTGACTTTGCTTACACGTCTTTTTCAGTGTTGACAATTGTTGTACGCTTGCTGCAACAACAACTCTGAACGTCAGTAAAGTTTGTCTCCCAGGAGCTTGCTAATGGTAGGTGATACAGGAAAGTGTGAAGGCGGGGCCAACTTCGTGATTACTCCCTCCGGGTTCCGAGCAACACAGCCCAGCTATGAATGGCACACAAGCACAGGATGTGGCGCGCGTCAAGCCATTCCAAATCGCAATTTTCATGGCAATTTCTTACAAATAGAAGCATTGGTTTAGACTTTAAGTCATTTTTTTGCATCGCCTCGGGTAAAAATACGCCAGTTCTTGGTTTATGTATCCTGGATCCGTTGCTACAAGGCTGGGAAGGTCTTCCATGGAGGTAACGAGACGCAAATGTTAATTCACACGTTGTTTGCGTTGACCAATGGGACAATTTTCGACAAAAGACGTTCTTGCCGCGATATATTACGTGGATAATCATAGATTTGTTTTGGTAAAGTGCAGCTGATGAGGAATCGAGGCTAAAATGTGATATAATAACTGAAATTTGGAGAGAATTGTTTCATTGAAAGCATGTAAGTAAAGGGCATTGGGAGGACGGAGGTGTGGGGGAAGGACGGAGGTGTGGGGGAAGGACGGAGGTGTGGGGGATAACCCAAAAAAGTCAGTGACTTATTTCTTACTCCAGCGTTCATATATAATGCAAATTATCTCTCGAAATCGTGGGACCAAAATGGCGGCCTAACAAATGTAAATCAAAGAATTCTGAAGGTTGACTTGATCTCAGATTGCTAGTCTACATAAACACCACCGCAAGCAGCATTAATGATAAATATTAGTTCCTCCTTTTTACTATTAAAAATTATTAATATACCGTCTTAGGATTTATATACATATTTTTTCCCTCTTCAATCCAGGGATTCGATCCCGGACGTCAGTGTTGATCTGCGCCGCTCTCACCACTGAGCTACGACTGTACAGTTTTTATACAACTCTCTGATGTGTACAATACACCGTGCTTATTACAACAATAATTCATTCTTTACAAATATTTATGTATTTATTAATGGGTATTGTATATTTCCCTCAACGGACATCTCCCGCCGAGGCAGAGTGATCCAAAGAAGAAAACGCATTCACCATAATTAATTCAATCACTGTATTTATATACTTTTTTCTAGATGCAAATTTTCCATATATATTTTTTGAACATTGTAAGGATATATATAGTGTATATATACTGAGAGTCTAGTACCTAACTTAAGGATTAACGTATTCTTGAAAGGTGGTAAATGTTAAATTAAGACTTAATGACCCTCCTGTAGTTAAGCTTTAAACCCTTTTAACTTTAACCAGGATAATTATTTATATAACAATTTCAGTATATAACTTTTGTAAAGCTAGTTTTATTCACTACTGTAAGTATTAACACACGGAGGGCCCGGGTTCGATTCCCGGCGGGGTGAAAGCATTTCGACGCGTTTCCTTACACCTGTTGTCCTGTTCACCTAGCAGCAAATAGGTACCTTGGTGTTAGTCGACTGGTGTGGGTGGCATCCTGGGGGACAAGATTAAGGACCACAATGGAAATAAGTTAGTCCTCGACGACGCACTGACTGTCTTGGGTCATCCTGGGTGGCTAACCCTCCGGGGTTAAAAATCCGAAGAATATTTTATCTTATCCATGTGTATTTCAGCTAAAATTTTAACTGGTATATTCCATATATATTATTTCACGTTAATGTTTTAATATTACTCTAATATAATTATATTCTGACGATGAAGGAAAGTATATTTGAAACTTAAGTTTATTAAATAAACTTTATATCCTGAGATGGTGTTTTTTACAGTCTTCATATATTATGTAAATATCGCAAACCAAGCATAGAGTTGTCAGGAAGTGGAATAGCCTAGCAAGTGAAGTAGTGGAGGCAGGAACCATACATAGTTTTAAGAAGAGGTATGACAAAGCTCAGGAAGCAGAGAGAGAGAGGATCCAGTAGCGATCAGTGAAGAGGCGGGGCCATGAGCTGAGTATCGACCCCTGCAACCACAATTAGGTGAGTACAATTAGGTGAGTACACACATACACTTTATACACTGTGTACGTCAGGCCCATACTGGAGTACGCATAACCAGTTTGGAACCCACACCTGGTCAAACACGTCAAGAAATTAGAGAAAGTGCAAAGGTTTGCAACAAGGCTAGTTCCACAGCTAAGGGGAATGTCCTATGAAGAAAAGTTAAGGGAAATCGGCCTGACAACACTGGAGGACAGGAGGGTCAGGGGAGACATGATAACGACATACAAAATACTGCGTGGAATAGACAAGGTGGACAGAGACAGGATGTTCCAGAGATGGGACACAGAAACAAGGGGTCACAATTGGAAGCTGAAGACTCAGATGAGCCAAAGGGATGTTAGGAAGTATTTCTTCAGTCATAGAGTAGTTAGGAAGTGGAATAGTCTGGCAAGCGATGTAGTGGAGGCAGGAACTATACATAGTTTTAAGACGAGGTATGATAAAGCTCATGGAGCAGGGGGAGAGAGGACCTAGTAGCGGTCGGTGAAGAGGCGGGGCCAGGAGCTGAGTCTCGACCCCTGCAACCACAATTAGGTGAGTACAATTAGGCGAGTACACACACACACACACACACACACACACACACACACACACACACACACACGCCTTCTTTTCATCGTCATTTCAACTCTTCCCGGGTCGCCCCCTGCACCATCCACTCTACATTTATAAACACAGTTAGTCATTTTTCTTTATCCTTTCTAAATGACCAAAGTTTCTCAACTCCTCTGTTCTCTTAATTATAACTTATGCTGCAATGCAGTCTGCTAATTTCTTCATACATTATTCTCTACATGATGTTCATATTTCACTACAAACACTTCATTGCTCTCAGCTGCAACACTCAGATTCGTCTTCACTATTCCCTGGTTTGAAGAGTATAACGCACATGGATGTGTTACACAATGGACAATGTTTCTCTCTGTTTAGAACTTTGTCGTGAAGCTTTTTCCAAATATAAGTGTGTCCTCTATACTTCTGTCTTGTGTTTACATATAATTATTCTGGTATATTTCTGTTCTTTCATACATTCAAAATTTTTCCTTCCGCAAACTCGTCTCAGTAGCTGCTTTCCTTCTCTGTTATTGTCATTACTGTCTTTCATAGACCTATCTGCCGTTATATTTTTTTTTCTTCCATATTTCTGCCTTCAGATCTATCGTCCAGTATTTCATTACCCGGACTGCTTACAATCACCACCCTGCTCTGTTTTTTTTTTTCATGTGTGTACACTTTTATCATCTGGTACACATCTTCCAAAAAATCCTAAACTAACTTCAGCTTCTCGCCTGAATCTCTCAAAAGGACAACTCTGACAATTCCAAATTTCTATCAAGCATACCTGTCTAAGACTCCAAGAATTGTTAGCTATGATCCCTACTCTTCCTAATATTAAACGTGATTACTTACCATGAATATACAAGAAACATGACCAATGCGTGTGTTGTACAAAGAAACTATCGTGGAAACATTGTCAATAGGAAGAACTCCAGAAACGAAGATGATCAGAATCTTAAATTGTTACATCCAACACCACAATATACTGTATAGTGTGGTGTTGGATGTAACAATCTAAGATTCCGAGTTCTAATGCCTAAAAGTTCTGGCTTGGTTGACTTGAAATGCCAAGACACAGCAATCACATAGAATCACGAAAAAAATATTCAAGAAAATGACGAAACTATGACTATTACCAGTTACTCCACACAGTGTTGACTCACCAGTTTAAACATAGTGGTGGAGGCGCTGGTTTACACGGCTGGTGATAACTCTTAACTGCAGGAGAGACTGGGAAAAGATCTGGCCTGAAGCAGGTTCAGGAGGATGTGCGGGGCGAGAGGGAGGACTCTAAATCTCTGCTACAGAGGCTGAGACCAGAGTAGTGTGTTCCTGCAGACACACTCTTAATATACCCCACGCGGCTAGGCCGCCACCAAGGTCACCCTTCTTCCCGGCGCCATCATGAACTGTACCATCACCGCCATTATGAGCTTTGCCATTAGCGCCATCATAAGCTGTACCATCAACGCCATCATGAAATGTACCTTCAGCCCCATCATGAACAGTTGTTAGCTTATTCATGGAAAATCACCTGATACGAGTCTGTCATGAGTCGTTCAGTGGTGCCAGCACTATGGTAGGGACGTGGCCGACACTATGGTAGTGGCATGGCAAAACACTAAGGACACATAAAGGTCTGGTAACCGATGGTAGATAAATGGACACAGATGCAACTAATGTGACATTTTATTGTGGCAACGTTTGGCTCTCCAGGAGCTTTGTCAAGCCGTTACGGACAATATGAGGACACGCCTCTGAAATGGCGAAGCTGCCTATATTTTGTTTATTGGTACTAAGCTGGAGTATGGCGGCAGCGACCGCTGGCCTCGTGCTAGACTCGGAAGTCACAGTACCAGACACTTAAAAAACTGCTATTTTAGTAAATATGCATTGAAAGGCTGATGGACAAATCTGAAGTGTATAAATCTGAGCTGACAAAAAACTACTGAATAATCATTAAAAGTATAATCATTAAAAATCTTAGACTGTGAGTGGATGTTTACACAAGACACCCGGCTGGTGTGTGAATGTGTGAAGGTTGTGTGTGTGTTGTGTGTAGACTTGTGTGCGTGTGCGCAGAACTGGTGATGGATCACGACATTAACTGATGTCATCTTATTAATTATACAGTAATGACTGATTGACTGAGACAAGGTCTAAACACACACAAGCGGGGTTCCACAAGGGTCAGTCCTGGGGCCAGTGCTGTTTCTGGTATATGTGAATAACATGACGGAAAAGAAAGATTCAAAGGTGTACCTGTTTGCAGACGATGTGAAGATAATGCGGAGAATTAAAGTGGATGAGAATCAGGTAGAACTACAAAGAGATCTGGACAGGCTGCAAGCCTGGTCCAGCAACTGGCTTCTAAAGTTTAGCCCTACCAAGTGCAAAGTCATGAAGATTGGAGGAGGTCAAAGAAGACAGAAGACAGAGTACAGACTAGAGGTGCCAAAGGCTATAAACCACACTCAAGGAAAAGGATCTTGGGGTGAGTATAATACCGAGGACATCTCCTGAGGTCCACATCAACCAAATAACTGCTGCAGCATATGGGTGCCTGGCAAACCTAAAAACAGAGTTTCGATACCTGACTAAGGAGTCATTCAAGACACTGTAAACAGTGTACGTCAGGCCCATACTGGACTATGCAACACCAGTATGGAACACACGCCTGGTCAAGCACGTTAAGAAATTAGAGAAAGTGCAAAGGTTCGCAACAAGACTAGTCCCGGAGCTGAGGGGTATGTTCTACGAGAAGAGGTTAAGGGAAATCAACCTGGAGGACAGGAAGGATAGGGGGAACATGATAACGACATACATGATACTGAGAGAAATTGACAAGGTGGATAGGGACAGAATGCTTCAGAGATGGGACACAGCAACAAGGGGTCACAACTGGAAGCTGAAAACTCAGACGAGTCAGAGATGTTAGGAAGTATTTCTTCGGTCATAGAGTTGTCAGGAAGTAGAACAATCTGGAGAGTAATGTAGTGGAGGCAGGATCCATGCTTAGCTGAACTTTAAGAGATACGATGAAACTCATAGAGCAGGAGGAGAGTGGATCTAGTGGTGACCAGCGAAAAGGCGGGGCCAGGAGCTGTAACTCAACCCCTGCAACCACAAATAGATAAGTACACACACACACACACACACACACACACACACACACACACACACACACACCACACACACACACACACACACACACACACACACACACACACACACACAAACTACAGAACTCGTATATATGATATGGAGGGAAGGTTGTACCAGAAGTAGACTTGTGTTACATGACTGGCAATATGACCTCTCATAGCTAGTGTTGCCACCTACCAACATCCTCCCCACAACGTCACAAGCAGTGCCACTCACCATCATCCTCCCCACAACGTCACAAGCAGTGCCACTCGCCAACATCCTCCCCACAACGTCACAAACAGTGCCACTCACTATCTTCCACAACCGGATATGGAGAGAGTATTACAAGCAGGTCATCTCCCAAAACAGCAAAATAACACATCAAGATTTAAACGTCCTCAGACCCCTATAATTTGTTTATCTGGTGGATCTCTTCCCAACCTTTACCTCTGGTAACAATATATACGTCATTCACGGTATACGCCAGCCACTCACGGTATACGTCACTCACGGTATACGTCACTCACGGTATACGCCACTTGCGGTATATGTCAGTTAGGGTATACGCCAGGAACATTTTTTAAGATATAACTCACTTCACTATATTCCTCTATATTAGGTATTTCTGGAACTAAGGGGACGCTTCCCTAGGAGACGAGAGAACATCTGAGGAAGTGGCATATGAAGCCGCAGGAAAATGTTTGCAAGAAGAGTTTGCTGTGAGAAAACAACAAACATTTCACTCTCTAATTCTACAATTAAGAGTCTGATTGATTAAATAGCTTATGACGTTAATAATCAAGTACTTGAGAAGATAAGGTTATCTCAAGTTGCTGGTAATGAGTGATGACACCACAGACGTAACTCACTTTAACTGTTAGTTTACGTGTAGTTCATAGGGAATAAGACACTAGAAAAATAAGGTGGATATTGCACGATGGACACGAGTGTAAGTGCTGACCTTTTTTTCACTAACATTTTCATCCACAATGAAGTATGATGGAAGAGGTTGGTTGGTGTTTTTAGTGATAGAACTCCAGCCAGGCTTGATCAAGCTGTGACTTCATCACCGAGGCTGAAGGGAGAAGGAACTCAGCTATTTTAACACAATGCATCATGCGTAGCCAGACTTTGGTAGCAGAGACTCGTCTCTTATAACCTAAGATATGTTTGATAAAATTTATGAACCAGACAAAACTTATCGCCTTGAACGCCTGCTTGTTTAGGCAGTTCGATTTAATATTTATATAAGGAGCTAAATCCGTCTGGGTCACTCAGCGCAAAGATTGTTGGAGTCTGGATACCCCTAATCGACAGGCAAACAATACTCTCCCAGCCAGGTTGTAGCAGGGAAGTGTAATAGCCAAAATGACCATTCTTAAATCACTTTAGTCATTTACCTACATCGTGATCAGTTGGGTTATAAACAAGAATTTTACCCAGATAAAAAGGACATCAATATAAACCTTTATACCTTTAGTGATCATCATGTTATCTGTGAACTACGGTAAATTAGGAATTATTATTATCTTAAGGATACAGATTCACAGTTAATAAGTATTTACAGTTGCCCAGTCCTTACCAATTATTACCAGCACCAGAGTTATTAAGAGTCTAACTTACTAAGAAGTATCAGTAGGAAGATCTTACCCAGGGAGAGTCCTACACACCCAGCAAGTTTACTTCAGTCATGTGACGCCGCTCTTGGTAGTTCTTCCTCTATTTTTATCCAAAGACTGTTGAAAAGGGAGTTTATGAGAGCACGATTATCACTTCAGTTAAATCTGCAGAGGCAATAACTGCCTTTATACACACACACACAAGACAAGAGAGAGAGGGGTGGATCGACTGCATTTTTTTGGACTGCAAAAAGGCCTTCGACACAGTTCCTCACAAGAGGTTACTGAAAAAGCTAGATCAGGCACACATAACAGGAAAGGCACTGCAATGGATCAGAGAATACCTGACAGGGAGGCAACAACGAGTCATGGTACGTGACGAGGTGTCAGAGTGGGCGCTTGTGACAAGCGGGGTTCCACAGGGGTCAGTCCTAGGACCTGTGCTGTTCTTGGTGTATGTGAACGACATAACGGAAGGGATAGACTCAGAAGTGTCCTTGTTTGCAGATGATGTGAAGTTAATGAGAAGAATCAAATCGGATGAGGATCAGGCAGGACTACAAAGAGACCTGGACAGGCTACAAGCCTGGTCCAGAAACTGGCTCCCTTTAGTTTAACCCTGCCAAATGCAAAGTCATGAAGATTGGGGAAGGGCAAAGAAGACCGCAGACACAATATAGTTTAGATGGCCAAAGACTGCAAACCTCACTCAAGGAAAAAGATCTGGGGTGAGTATAACACCGAGCATATCTCCTGAGGCGCACATAAATCAGATAACTGCTGCAGCATACGGGCGCCTGGCAAACCTACGGATAGCGTTCCGATACCTCAATAAGGGGTCGTTCAAGACACTGTATACCATTTACGTCAGGCCCATACTGGAGTATGCAGCACCAGTTTGGAATCCACACCTAGTCAAGCACGTCAAGAAATTAGAGAAAGTGCAAAGGTTTGCAACAAGACTAGTCCCAAGCTACGGGGATTGTCGTACGAAGAAAGGTTGAGGGAAATCGGCCTGACGACACTGGAGGCCAGGAGGGTCAGGGGAGACATGATAACGACATATAAAATACTGCGCAGAATAGACACGGTGGACAAAGACAGGATGTTCCAGAGATGGGACACATACACAAGAGGTCACAATTGGAAGTTGAAGACTCAGATGAATCAAAGGGATGTTAGGAAGTATTTCTTCAGTCATAGAGTAGTCAAGTCGTGGAATAGTCTAGAAAGTGAAGTAGTGGAGGCGGGAACCATACATAGTTTTAAGGCGAGGTATGATAAAGCTCATGGAGCAGGGAGAGAGAGGACCTAGTAGCAATCAGTGAAGAGGCGGGGCCAGGAGCTATGACTCGACCCCTGCAACCACAAATAGGTGAGTACAAATAGGTGAGTACACACACACCACACACACACACACACACACACACACACACACACACACGTACTCATATTCAACAGGCCTAGTGTCTAATCGACATGTGCCTGGGACAAAATGGTAACTAACACACACATAAATCTCATTTAATTTTTTAAACTTTTCAGACTCTTCAGGACTCGTCTTCAGTGTTCAACCGCTAAAATAAACACAACACTGAATAGCTGCTTCACATATATACGGTGGGGATGTTGTGTTCCTGGAGGTGGGCAGTACAGATCCTGTAAGCTGAAGGATAGGTGGGGATGTTGTGTTCCTGAAGGTGGGAAGAACAGTTCCTGTAATCTGAAGGATAGGTGGGGATGTTGTGGTTCTGAGGACCATTTGAGAATAACACTTGATTTCTTATTTCCAGGAAATTCCCAATGAAAACAATTTCTCCAAGCGCTTCTGCATGAAACAGGCATAATATACACGTACATAGCGACCTCCCTTGATGTAATAACCTCGTATACAGCGACCTCTCCCTGATATAATATCCTGGTATGGAGTAACCTCTCACTCCGAAAACCACAACAGCTGCTAACATTATGACTAAAAAAATCACAAGGACGCCTGCCATGCAATTAGAGTACATCATTTCTTGTTAAGTTCGGCAGCTTTGAAGACAATCCACACCGTATATAATCTAATTACGTTATTCTATATTGCGCCTGTTAGTATTGAGAGATAAGTGGATATAGTGTGTTATCGTGTTTACCCCAGTTACCAAACAGAGGGTCGAGACTCCACCATTCCGTGCGTTGTATAGTTCATATGGGCTGAGTAATTAGCATTAATCAAATAAAACTGCAGTCAGTATCGCAAAAAGCTTCTTTAACAGCTGAATGATGGACCTGGCTTGAGTGCTGAGGCTGTTGACACGACGACTCTAGTTAGCCTAGATGGGAGTCTAGTAAGTTTTTAGACTGGAAATCCAGATAGCCTCCCCCAAGGAAGATTCCTTGATGCTGTTGAGGGGCTCGTGATCTAAGGAATTGGATCTGTGCTCCAGTTCCCTGAATTAAGCCTGAATACCGTTCACGTTCGCCCCACAGGTGCTGTATAATCCTACGGGTTTAGCACCTCCCCTTGTTTATAATAATCTAGATGGCCTGACTTCCAAGCTTTGCTGAGGGTATATTATTGGTCATTGATTCAGTCTGTGGTAATTACCGTAGTTTAATGTTGTAGTTCAGAAGGTTACATTAATCGTGATATTCGCGTACTTCTGGCAAGACAGTTATTGAGCGAATGATGGAGAATGTATTTTTTTGTCATCTTTTCTTGGTGGGAGAGAGGTCAGGTTAGGTTAGGTAAGGTTCGTCAGGAAACAGGACAAATGTTTCCTGACGCGGGTCTTAGTCAGTTGATGACCCGCCTTTGGAACTTTTGGTCATCTGACCGAGGCCTTCCGCTGGCTTACCGGTCCACCCCTTTAAAAATTATGGTCATTTATAACCATTGTTATATATATGGGAGAGAGGTGGTGTGGAAAAATATAAAAGCGACACCTGATGTGTCATCAGAACTAAGGTGGTTTAGTAATACCAAAATGAGATAAAACTTTAAGTTTATTGTGTGGTAGTGAATCCAGAACCACTGGATGACTGGACTGTGGTATCTCATAATGGTTCCTAAACTATAGGTAGATAAATTTTCAAAATAAATGTGACATGGTAGAGGCCGGCAGCTAGCAATGTGTCGATACACAGATACTTATGTGTTAAGCACATGTTTGTTCCGCACCTTTGCGGTGTATTTTGGTGTAAGAAATATACATAAATAACCCGCATATATGATATAAAAGTTTATAACGAGCCCAAACTTATTTATAAGTTTTCTTCTCACATGTGCGGATTATTTGTGTCTTGTTCCAGTCACGGTATTGTGACTTTTGTTCTTTCTGTATAGGAAATATATTCCTGCATTACTATTCTATTACAAAGCTGAGAAATGGGTAAAACTTGTTAATGTCACAGTTTGAGGCTGATTATCCTATTCTATTGTTGTGATAGAGATGCTATTCAACCCCTTGCTTGGTTAACACGAACGTTACACGGTCCTTGTAACCGAAGTAGGTGGTACACAGCAGCCATTCAAGGAAGTACTCCTCTCCTACAATGTAAGTATGAAACTGAAGCCTTGTAAACATTTTGCACTCTGGCCGGATTCCTGGTTAAGTTCCTCAAATATGTTCATCGTCTAATGCAGTCAACATCTTTGCTATATTTCACCATCCATGCAATAAAATCTATCGTGTTTAAGTACCAAAGGTGAGATTTAACATTAAGTCGCCAATGGTACTAAAACACAATAGATCTTATAACATGGATGGCGAAATATTATAGCAAAGATGTTAATTGCATTAGACGATCAACACATTTGAGGAACTTAACCTATGAGTAGAGAGGGAATTATCCGCCATTACTACATGCAATTCCCTCCTATGTGTCAGCGTGTCTTGGTTGGTCCTTCACATGTATTCTCCACCATTGAAGGAACAGATTTTTTTTTACTCTCCCAGTCGTAGAAATATTTCCTTGGCTATGTATTTAATAATGAAAATTTAGTCCCCAATCTTGTTAAATCTTTTTTCGTTCTTTATTTCAAGTTAAATATTTTTATTCAATTATTTTATCTTCTGGATACATAGCCTCGTTTTAACTCTCCTTCCCAAACATTAAAGAAAATGTAGGTGAAAAGTGGGAGAAAAAAAAGTGAGAAGACAAAGAGATATATTGATGGAGCAGACAAGATCCTGACTGTTGGTCGTGCCAAACACAGACCAGAGGTAATCACCATAAATTACAGGGTTTGTGAGGCAAACAGCGCGTACCATCACATCCCATGGACTCGACCTTCCGTCACTGATGGCACAACACCACACACCTTGTGACTTTCCCTTGCTAAAGCACAGTGTTCATTTCTGGTGACTCCAGAGGCTTTGGTCAACACTACATTTGGTGAAAAATAGTCTGGTGATACCGACAAGATGTGAAACACACTAATAAACGTCCTGAACTGTACATAAGTGCCTTTTTCCACAGTGCATTTTAGTGGGTTAAATAATGCTGGACACATCAGCGTTGTGCTGCTACCTTAGTATACACGAGTTACTGTGGGAACAAATACTAGCCTTACCATATTTCATCACACAAAACTGGTTTCTTATATCGAAAGATACAATATGTAAGGCGGCTGAGCTGGAAGACTTCTGTAGAACAGTCACAATATGGTCGAACATTCCTCTAAGGTTAAGTAGCCAAACTAATACTCGAACATAAGGACACGCCACTACTGATCTTTCCATTTCGTTTATTATCTTCCTTCAGTGGAGGGAGGGAGGTTTTGATGAAGGGCTCTTGATCTGAAGAATTGAAGCTACCTTCCCTTTCCTCCGTTTCCGGTCTTGTTTCTCTTTCCTAGTTTTCATAATAGTGTTCTTGCTATAGTGTAGCATAATGGTGTTCTTGCTATAGTGTAGCATAATAGTGTTTTTGCTATAGTGTAGCATAATGGTGTTCTTGCTATAGTGTAGCATAATGGTGTTCTTGCTATAGTGTAGCATAATGGTGTTCTTGCTATAGTGTAGCATAATAGTGTTTTTGCTATAGTGTAGCATAATGGTGTTCTTGCTATAGTGTAGCATAATGGTGTTCTGTTATATTTCGACTAACAAGTATTCATGGACTATTTTGTCATCCCTTTTACATATACCAAGTAAATCACCGTCCCAGTGTTGATCCTTGTGGGACCCCGCTCGTCACATATGTCCGTAGGTATTCTTTGGCATTAAATGGTTATAATTATAACCATAATTTTTAAAGGGGAGGACCGGTAAGTCACCGGAAGGCCTCGGTCAGATGACCAAAAGCTCCGGACGGCGTGTCATATCTGATTAAGATCCACGTCAGGAAACACTTGTCTTGTTTCCTGACGAACATTACCTAACCTAACCTTGACATAATGTAACGCCCTTCACATTATTCCTTTCTATCCTATTCTAGTTAATGGATCGGTCTCTTGTGCGGCACAGTGTCAGTTACCTTCTTAAAATCCAGCAATATCCAGTGACTCACTCTTTTATTTTTCCCTCTGTTGCTTTGTCGGAGAACTTCAGAAGGTTTGTGAGTCGGGGTTTAATGAACCCGAATCCGTGTGTTGTATATGCTGTGTTTTGAGATCGTCTCTGCAGCTTTCAGACCTCTGTAGTAGTAGTAGTAGTAGTTAGTAATTTCAAGTACTGCTACAATAATAATTTATTAATCTTTATTTCTAAAAGTACGGCATACAAATGATAACAGATTAATTGAGGTTATTTGTATATTTAACAGCAAGCTTCTGGTTATGTAGAGCATTTCGGGCAAGCCATCACTCGCCATAGCGGACACCCGAGGTTCCTCGTGTATAAAATTGAAAAGTTAGCTCCTACACTCTCAAAAACAACCTGAACCTTCCATGAAATAAGATACATGAACATTGGAAGTTTGAGGCTGATCGGAAGAGATGTTATCAAGTCCACGGAAACCTTGGAGGAAAAATAATCCGACAAGCAATACAGGTATTTCCCTTGCAGGGAATACCTAATAAGCCACACTACCTGCCTTTCTGGGGTCATCCTGAACTGTTACCTTTCAGGCTTTCTTGGATTACCCTGGGTTATTAACCTTTAAGGATTAATACCATAGGATTTCTTCCCGCAGAGTGAATGTTAGGAAAAATTATATTCTTGGGGAATCACTAAACCCGTAAGAGTCGTACAACCCTAGAGTGTAACTGGAGGCACTTATGTCTGATCCAAGGAGATGGTAGCTCTAATTCACTGAATCAAAAGCCTTTCAACAGGATTAAGGAAATTTCAGGAAAGCAGTCTGTACACATTGCCGGGTGTGTATATACTGCCAGGTGTGTACATACTGCCAGTGTGATACAACCAGGTGTGTACATTGCCAGGTATGTACACTGCCGGGTGTGTACAATCCCGGCGTCACAATGGGTAGATAGCGTGCCTGGAGCAGCATCGACAATCAACCGGTAATAACAGTGTCAGATCACACAGGGATATTGTCTCAGTGTTGAGTTCCCGCTGCCGCCTCACTCAAGACCAGCCTACACTACCTTGAGACCTTCACACCTCCACACGGTTTTGCCCTGGCCTTGATACCTCTGTGAGTGTTCCTTGAGTGGTCTGTGGGGATCTGGGTGTATCTGTGGTAGTTTGAATGTTGATGTGGTGGTCTGAGTGTTGCTATGGAGGTTTGAATGTTGATGTGGTGGTCTGAGTGTTGCTATGGAGGTTTGAATGTTGATGTGGTGGTCTGAGTGTTGCTATGGAGGTTTGAATGTTGATGTGGTGGTCTGAGTGTTGTTGTAATAGACTAAGTGATCTATTACAAAAACGGGGCACCGTGACCTGGTGACTAAAGCTCTCGATTCACACGGCGAGGGTCTGGGTTCGATTCCCAGTGAGGGTAGAAACATTGGGCGTGTTTCTATATACCGGTTGTCTGTTCACCCATCAGTAAAATGGGTACCTGGGCGTTAGTCGACTGGTGTGGGTCGCATCCTAGGACAAAACTAACCTAATTTGCCCGAAATGCTCTGTATAACAAGCGGTTTTCTATATAGTAGTATGTAATTGATGTCAGGTAGGTCTGTATACCTTGTACATGTACTTGTAGAAATAAAGATATTACTATTACCAACTGCTCGTCCAAGTCATTCCACTTCCTCAGCATCCTGAAGGTGAGGATGTTCTCTCCATCCTACCTGTGACTCTTCTGTTAATGTTCTTAATACAATCGGTGAATGTACACTCTGCCCACAATGAAAGCTCCCATACATGTACAGACATATGTATATCTTTGTGCATGGGAAAGATCTGCATGTATGAGTGTGTAGATGTGTGTACTTTCCAATTTGTATTTCTCTATTTGTTACAGTATTTGTGACTATTGTAGTCACTGTCTCTGGTGCTGCCCCATCATTCCCCTACTCCCAGATCCCCAACATCTCCCTCCATAGACACTCTGGTGGAGTGTTGACACCACCTTCCCACACCCACTTACACTTTCCGCATCTTGTGACACTCCCAGTTCTAAGTAAGCCATTAGACAACTTTAAATCTTATAGATTGGTGGCCTGACGCCACTGAATCTGTTCTTTCCACCAGCAGTGCCTCTGTTATCACTGAATTAAGAACTAAACTCGAAAATATCTCAGTGTTGAAATATAAATGGCTCTTACTGCCTAATATTTTAAGACTATTTCGTGCTTAAACTCAAGGAGATGTATAAATCTCGCAGGGAAAAGTTTATGATGCAGCGCCCACTGTAATTTAGACATTATGAGAGTTAAATATAAGTGTTAAAGGATGCATCTAAATTCCATTACAGAAGCCATCACCTGAGGAGTGTGATTTAAGTGTCTCATGTCCTCGCATAACACGTACTTTTATCATCATTCACCCCTCAAGGAAGGTTCCTTGATGTTGGTGAGGGGCTCTTGATTTAGGGAATTGGATCTGTGCTCCAGTTCCCCGAATTAAGCCTGAATGCCTTCCACATCCCCCCCAGGCGCTGTATAATCCTCCGGGTTTAGCGCTTCCCCTTGATTTTAATAATAATATCATCACTCAAATGCGATGACAGGGGGTTTATAAGTGATATAAATACCGATAAGTTAATGAGTAAGACACACGTGAAACAGTTGGGTATCTTTATTGTTCAAACGTTTCGCCTACACAGTAGGTTTCTTCAGTCAAATACAGAGGCAGCAAGTGTAGTAAAAAAACAACTATTTCTTCAAGTTTGATGGACTGAATACATCTTTGTTATTACAACTGCTGCATCTGTATGTGACTGAAGAAGCCTACCGTGTAGGCGAAACGTATCGGCAAAAAGATACCCAACTGTTGCACATGGATCTTATTCAACATGGTACAGGAAAACAGAGGCGAGTCTTGTTCAAGGGTCAGTGTAGAGTTGGTGACACGCACGATTTCACAAAGGCTTAAGAAAAATTTTTGCATCATAGACATCTCTATAACAAGCTCTACTGTTAATTATCTTTTTTATTTTCACTTCAAGGTGTGATGATGGTGGTGAAGGTCTCGTGGCCTGAGAAGTTGCACCAATTCTTCGTTTCTTAGTACCAAATCTGACTACTGTCTTACCACTTCTCCGTGAACATAAGTATAATAATTTTCTCTTGTTTTAGCTGCTGCGATGAATCAGTATTGTAATTTAGACGCCAATCTTCTTGCAGAAGACATCAGCTCCAGACCACGACTTTTCCCAGGCATCTTCCAAGATACTGTCACATCTCAGGTCAAGGATTCACGTTCAGTAGAAGACAGTGAAGGGGTTAAAAAGTGAATTTGCAACAGGCAAAGTGAAAACTCTAGTATCATGACCTTTTGATGATTTGGTAAAGTATTATAGTTAAATTAGCCCAACATATAATCAAAGTCAATAAGGCTGGAGAAGACAAAGCCTTCGCGAATAATCAACATTACTCACAAAAAAATGAGTGACAGGTGAGTTTCATAATGTTTATTTTCTGTTATATTATCAAGATGGCGGAGGTGCAGAAGGAAGTTAAATGCGTATTAGCGAAGAAATAATTCTTTTATTAGCGGGAAAATAATGATTTATGTGCTGGGTAATGCAACGCCAACAGAAGTATATTTGTGCGTATTTGTACCACAATTACATTAGTCAAGCCTTCCGTAATATTATATTTTATATTATACAAATCTTTCCTTGATGCTAGTACAAGTCTCTCAGTCAAGGAACTGGTACTAGTATGTCCGCTATTGATTTAACATTCCACCCTCCAGTAATAGTAATAATAAGAACAGATGAACAACTAGATGTATTTCGGTCGCTGCGCTGTCCGAGGAAGTATCCCTGTATTTCACAAGCCCAGCCTCCTCTATCTCAATGCATGCAAAAGGAACATTGAAGTCTGTCAGTCTACCCGGAGTTCATTACCTTTGTAACTTGTTAAGCTATCAGAACTTTGGGGCCCAGTCCCTGGACCCATTGTGTGCCTCTGTAATCTTTTGACTACAGCCCACAGGATGGGTATCTGGTGCATAATATATTAACTAACTAGTGTTTCTTGGCGCGGGTCTTAGTCATATGATGACCCGCCGCTGGAGCTTTTGGTCATCTGACCGAGGTCTTCCGCTGGCTTACCGGTCCACCCCTTAAAAAATTATGATTATCAGCATTTTTCTTTGTAGGAGTTGAGACAAAAAAAATTATTTGTATATTCCCTCGCTTCGGACTGGCTGTTAAATCATAAGATCATATGTGCCCTGAAATACATATGTAAATTTTTAGTTGTCCCACTGGTTTTTATTTTTCTTTTATGCTTGGCACAAGTGTTATGTGTTATTTATGCCTCTCAAAGTTATCATGGTTGCATCTAACCAACACAATAGCTGGTCCAGTACGCTTTTGTTGGCTGAATTTTGTTTTATGCAACGTAAGTAATTGTCTGATTTAATTTTATGAACCTCCTGATATATGGTTGCAGAAAATAACGTATTTTAAAGGCTGATAAGAAATATTAAGAAACATGATTTAGTCATTGCACTCGCCAGGAAATAATTGCTTAACGTGTATAACAGATTATGGATACCATTGATTAGTAAATCTTGGTATATATACTTAGTTTACATTAATCGTCATAGGCCTATGTGTCTAACAGATCAAGCTATTCGTGAACGGTCGTGAACCGATTACACGAATCCTCACGAAGTTGAAACCCTTGATAAGAGAATTGGCTGTATATATGTATATAACATCCTTCCCACACCACAATTTCAACAAAAATAAAGCCAACCTCCACACAAGTTGTATTTTCTCGTAATATACAAATGCGCAAGAAGAGCCGGAATAACAGAGTATTACAAGTAATGTGTGCGATTGTGGTCCAGAGTGTGATGTTAGTGGTGGTCTAGTTCCATGCCTGGCGCTGCTCTTCAAGAATTTAATGTTACTGTCACCTTCTTCTTCTTATGACCAGTGCTTTGGTAAGATGGGTAAGGAAGAAGGATTGGTAAGGATAGAAATCTTGGAAAAGGGTAGGAGGGGGGGGGGAGGTAGGATATAAAAGGTAAGTGGCCCAACCACTTTGGTTTAATTTAAAAAGTGTATGTGGAATAATATAATATTCTTGAAGGGATATAATACTTACCCAACTGTCACCAGTAACAGCCTGGATGACAGTCTGGGGAAGGGGAGGTTAAAAATCATATCACATACATACTGCAAATCACTGAAAATCATGTTTCTAAATAGGATTTCAATGATTTTATTTCAGTATATGAATTTTAACCTCCCCTTCCCCAGACTGCCATCCAGGCTGTTACTGGTGACAGTTGGGTAAGTATTATATCCCTTCAAGAATATTATATTATTCCATTCGTTAGGAAACAGGACAAGTGTTTCCTTACCCGGGTTTTAGTCATATGACCCGCCACTTGAGATATTGGTTATCTGACAGAGGCCTTCCGCTGGCTTACCGGTCCACCACTTTATAAATTAAAGTTATAATACACCTATTGGGAAAAGCTTTGGCCTCATTCGCCCCCCAACCATATCCCATCCCCGTGACTGAACTCCTTGCTACCCCTTCCCTCTCAACCTTATTTCCTTTATTATTACGAGTGAAACGCTCATGATCTAAGGAAGTAGAATTATTCTTCCTTCCTAGAATCAAACCTAATTATTCTTCATTTCTTCTATTCCCCAGGCGCCGAATAAATTTAATAATCCTGCCTGTAACCATGGCTGCCATCACCATCCTTCACTCGATCTTAGGCCAGCCCGCGTGCGCAGCTGATTACTCCTGAGTTATGATATCTCTCATCAACCTTAAATAATTACCTGTTTAAAGGTATCATTAGCGTGTGAAGGGGGCGTGCTAGCACTCAGGCGTTTTTTGTGGGTATGCGAGTGTCTGGCTTGAATGACTGGGGTTGTTTTCCGCCATCCTGGTCATTTTGTATGTTTTTCATGTTCTTTTAATTTATATTTCATTTGTGTGGGTTGACTTTAGTAAAAATGTTGTGCCACTAGTGGATTATCATAATTCTGTGGACATTTGTAGTGTCACTGAGGATATGGTCTTGGGGACCTTTGTAGTGTCACCTAGGACATAATTATTTATGAGACCGCCATCTCAACTCCTATTACTTTTTAAGTTCTTTTTTCTGTACTCACTTGCCACTTAATAATGGTCCAGGAAGGACTGAAACGTCTTCCATTTCTTATTTATGGGACTCTGATTTGGTCCAGAGTGTGATTGATAAAGCACCATACACCACCTCTACTGGCCTTAGAAACACTGGGAATATGACAGAATTTAGCTTAGTTCAGTTTTTTCTAAAGACTGCAAAACGATGGGAATAAACCACTTAATGGACAATTGGAATCAAAGGATTTTACACTATTCATTCAGTGTTGAATGACTCGTTTGGATTCAACTTTTTATATAATGATAATGTGAAAACTATAGGGCATAAACAATAGGCACGAAGGTCTGCACATTTACTATCGCGAATACTATACAAAAGAAATGTACATTTAATTTTGGTGTTAAGCCATTAAAATGTAGCGGCAAGGAAAACAACCGACTGGACAAAATTTAGTTAACGACCTAAGACAAAGATTCATGGTTAAATATGGCTGATGCTTTTGATCTGGCAAATGTCCAGAGTTCCAGACGCCAAAACATTGCATTGTTTAAGAACATAAGAACATAACATAAGAAAGAAGGAACATTGCAACAGGCCTACTGGCCTATGCGAGGCAGGTCCAATTCTCCTACCGGCTTAAGCCAATGCCTTGAACTAGTGAGGTCAAACACGTCACTTAAGGAAGAAGCAGTGCATCCGACCTAGTAGCACAAGCTAGTCAGGTCCATCTCACACCCACCCACACCTACTCATGTATTTATCCAACCTATTTTTAAAACTACACAACGTCTTAGCGTCTATGACGGTACTCGGGCTTAGCGCTTCTTTTTGATTATAATAATAATAATCGGGAGTTTGTTCCACTCATCCACAACTCGATTACCAAACCAGTGCTTTCCTATATCCTTCTGAATCTGATTTTTTCCAATTTAAAGCCATTGCTGCGAGTCCTGTCTGTTAAATATTTTTAGCACGCTATTTACATCGCCTTTATTAATTCCTGTCTTCCATTTATACACCTCGATCATATCCCCCCTAATTCTACGCTTTTCTAGAGAGTGCAGATTCAGGGCCTCAGTCTATCCTCATAGGGAAGATTTCTGATACATGGGATCAACTTTGTCATCCTCCTTTGTACATTTTCCAGAGCATTTATATCCATTCTGTAATACGATGACCAAAACTGCAGCATAATCTAAATGAGGCCTAACCAAAGATATATGAAAGAACAAAAGTAATATGAAAGAACGTCGCAATATTAACCTGGAAGGGAAGTTCCTTGATGCTGGTGACTGGGGAGGCATCTTTGTTCAAGGACATAGACCTGTCAACCCTTCCTTTGATCGAACCTGATCGCCTCAATATTTGTTATAGCTACGAATAAAAATTTGAATAGTCTTGGACCTCTGATTTCGACAGTGTCCTCTGTGCTTATGGTGCCTCACCTTGCTAAGTGATTAATTTCCAAACATTCTGATTTGGTTTACTATGCTACTGAGACCCTTGTAGGTTTAGCGCTTAGTTTTGATTATAATATCTCTGAAGGACGGGGTGTTAATGTTCTAGTTTTATGACTGTAGTGTAAGCACATCTCTGGCAAGACAGTGATGGAGTGAATGATAGTTTTTGACCCAAAAAGGTCAAAGTGGCTTTATTTCCATTGGGATCCTTGGTAACCAAGTCAGTTTTGTATTCTCTCTCTCATTTTATTGTACCCACACCTTGACTTAAACACCAGCCATTACCTAAGACACAGTCAAGTGCCGTCTTGTCTCTCCTACAGAATATGTGAAGCAATTTACAATGCCAGCAATTTCCAGAGATGATGTGCACGAAATTATAGCCTTGTGATGGTAATGCAGGCAGTTTCCGAGTCGATCGTAACAGGTATTGCTTCCTGTATCAGTTCAAACACTGTGGTTTCCCAATCATCACAAATTTGTAGCCCCAGGGATGAGGACAACACTGGTGCTCCCATTGGCCTCCTCCTTAACGTGAGCCACCATAGTAAAGGAAATCCTCTACTGTGTTCATTCACCTATATGTACTAACCTATAAATGGTTGCAGGGGTCGAGTCAAATCAGTAAAGAGGCGGGGGCAGGAGCGTTCTCCGAGTCTGTCTTTTCCACCATATTGTGTTTGTTGAGACACATTCAAGTCTATACACATAAAAGTGCTGTGGCATTTCGGCTTAACAGCACAATTCCATTATTTTTGTCATGTTTAGTAGTAATATTTTGCCCAAAAAATAAATTCTTGAAATATAGGCACTTCCTCAGTAAGATCAATATTATAATTGTTTGCATCAGTACATCATACTGTGGCAAGTTTTTTTTTTTTTTTTAATTTTCATGAAAAGTGACTTAATAACTGTGATGACACTAACAGCAGCTCTTGTATCCATCCTTACAAGAGCTCCTGCCAACTCTTAGTGTCTTTAATAATTTGTAAATCAGTCTGTATTTTGTATGTTTTAGGATTTCTTCCTTTAACCTTTTTTTTTTAAATTTAAGTCTGCCTTATGTAATTACAAATTTATTTTATTATATACTGATGAGAATAGATGATTTTTGAAATATCAGAGTAACTATGGTCACATCAGAGAGACGTGACCTTGTCTCTGAATCTCGGCATATTGTGAAAATAAAGCATCAACTTCACATGTTATATCTACAATGTTGCTCACACGTTAATTTATATTTTATGCCTTAGTACATAACTTTGTGTGTTGGTAGAAATGTTAACTTAGATATTTAAATGTCAGGTTTGTGAAGTTCATGTTTTCATTTTTTCACATCAAAGAAATAATCTTAGTCAGCAGTCACTGACTTGGGTGAAGCTGTCAGCAAGGCCAAATAAAGTGCGTTAGAGCAGTGATGGTGGTAAATTCTGCATCCACTGATAAACAGGACAATTAATAGATGGTGAACTGACGGTACAACTTGACAATTCTCAGAGCAGCATAGGGTTGTATTGTGTCTTGGGAAGGGGAACTAATCAGGTTTCATCCAAGATGGTAGATCTAGTTCCTTGAAGCAAGAGCCTCTCAACACAAAGGGTGAAAGGGTTGAAACATTCGCCTCCTCCCATCTTTTTGTCCTTCCTCTTCTCACTCCTAATCCTTTTTCCTTTTTTTTTTTTTTTTGTCCTTCCTCATATTCTCCTTACTATACTTTTCTCCTTATCCTCCTCCCCTCTTCTCATTTTTGATCTTCCTCCTCTGTCTCCTCCGTTTATCTTCCTGACAGACTACCACAAAGTCATAAATAACAATATAGCTCCACGAGTGTCGACGTGATAACCATCACAAGATAATAATCGTGGGAACACCTCACCAAAACACCATCATTTACGCGTCTTCTCTTTCAAGTCATCTGTTCTCATCTTTATTGAAGACAAAGTTGTCCAAAAAGCACATTTTGGGGCAGGGTTAGGAACTGTTGCTATAACTAAGTTGTTTGTTTATTAGGTTTACACATAGGTCATTAAGAAACATGTCATCTATAAAACACCTGTCAAGGACACTTTAATAAGAGAAATAAAAAATAAAATCTTTATTTCTTATAAATATAGGAATAACACAGAAGTTTACAATTCAGTTTTATACTTACAATACAATACAATTTGATATAACTACATGATCAAAAGAAAGCCACTAATATAGGTATTAAACTTTTAATGTATACAGGAGAGCCCTACCTATACAGCAGGTTAGATTCCAGCCTACTGCTGTAAAGTGAAATCTAGCCTTTCACTTTCAAATTCATATAAAAGCCTGATAACATGTTTACACTATATCAAGTGAGCAATAAAGTTAGGTCTAAAACATCCATATACAGTACACTCATTACCTATTTTAAAATGTTTTCATCCTTAGCTTATAGGGCATGGTGAATATATTTATTGTAGGAAGTCTCAATAAATGAAGAATGGGTATAATTTCAAACTGCTGCATTAGTGAAATGCAATAAAGTGGGGCCCTCCTGTATACACTTGCTCTCAGTGCATGCACATCAAGAGTGATGCAGAACATGCATATAAAGCCATCATATTAGTATGTTGTTTATGTTCTCGGGATCAGCCAAATATCTGGATATAATACATGTTTATGTTCTTGAGAATCCAGATCTCCAGATTCCATATATTCTTAATGTTGAGTAAAACATACACTGTATGGTAATCTATAATGGTATCCCACATTTAACAAAAAAAAAAATATAATCAGGAGGAAATGCTGTACCCATAGGGATCATAAAGATTAACAGAAGTAAAACAGGCTACAGGCAGAGATTTGTCACACACATATATATTCTTATTTTGAGGAAGCACAAAATCTGTAGGGGGTCATACAGTCCCTGGGGAAATGGGAGGTAATCAGGTATGATCCAAGAAAGAGGAGACTAGGTCCAATTCTTCAGAATAGGAGTCCCTCAGTGTCATGAAGCCTTCCTTAGGGGACCTTTATAGCACTCGACTACTTTCTGTACTATTGATTGGTCACGAGCAACTACCCAGTAGTTGATAATTTTGCCAATTATACATTTTTTTAAACACATTGGCTGTTTCCCACTGAGGCAGGGTGACCCAAAAAGAAAGAAAAACACAAAAAGAAAGAAAAAACTTTCATCATTCAACACTTTCACCATCACTCGTGCATAATCACTGTCTTTGCAGAGGCACTCAGATACAACAGTTTAGAAGTCCTTCCAAACTGCCAACATCCCAAACCCCTCCTTTAAAGTGCAGGCATTGTACTTCCCATTTCCAGGACTCAAGTCCGGCTAACCGGTTTCCCTGAACCCCTTCACAAAACATTACCTTGCTCACACTCCAACAGCTCGTCAGGTCCCATAAACCATTCGTCTCCATTCACTCCCATCTAACATGCTTGCAGGAAGTCAAAGCCCCTTGCCCACAAAACCTCCTTTGCCCCCTCCCTCCAACCTTCTCGAGGATGACCCCTACCCCGCCTTCTTTCCCCTAGAGAGTTATACGCTCTCCAAGTCATTCTACTTTCTTCCATTCTCTCTAAATGATCAAACCACCTCAACCCCTCTTCAGCCCTCTGACTAATACATGTACTTTTAGTAACTTCACACCTCCTAATTTCCACACTCTGAATTCTTTACATAATATTTACACCACACATTGCCCTTAGACAGGACATCTCCACTGCTTCCAGCCACCTCCTTGCTGCAGCATTCACAACCCAAGCTTCACACCCACATAAGTGTGTTAGTACCACTATACATGTACTTTCGTACATTCCCTTCTTTGCCTCCATGGATAACGTTTTTTTTGTCTCCACAGATATCTCAATGCACCACTCACCTTTTTTTCTTCATCAATTCTATGGTTAACCTCATCCTTCATAAACCCATCCACTGACAAGTCAACTCCCTAATATCTGAAAACATTTACTTCTTCCATACTCTCATTCCAATGTGATATCCAATTTTTCTTTAACTAAATCTACGTTCACTTTCAACTTTCTACTTTTACACACCCTCCCAAACTCATCCACTAACCTTTGCAACTTTTCTTTAGAATCTCCCAATAGCACAGTATCACCAGCAAAAAGTAAGTGTGTCAATTCCCATTTTGTATTTGATTCCCCATAATTTAATCTCACCCCTCTCCCCAACACCCTAGCATTTACTTCTTTTACAACACCATCTATAAATATATTAATCAATCATTGTGACATTACACAGCCTTGTCTAAGACAGGGATGTCATCTCCCTCTCTCCTACACACCTTAACCTGAGCCTCACTATCCTCATAAAAACTCTTTACAGCATTTAGTAGCTTACTACCTGTTCCATGCACTTGCAACATCTGCCACATTGCTCCCTATCCACTTTATCATATGCCTTTTCTAAATCCATATATGCAATGAAAACTTCCCTACCTTTATCTAAATACTGTTCACATATATGCTTCACTGTAAACATCTGATCTGCATATACCCTACTCACTCTAAAGCCTCCTTGCTCATCTGCAATCTTACTCTCTGTCTTACCTGTAATTCTCTCAATGATAACCCTACCGTACACTTTACCTGGTATACTCGGTAAACTTATTCCCCTATATTTTTTATAATCTCTTTTGTCCCCCTTCCCTTTATATAAAGGAACTATGCAAGCTCTCTGCCAATCCTTAGGTACTTTCCCCTCTTTCATACATTTATTAAACAAAAACACCAAGCACTCCAACACTATATCCTCCCTTGCTTTTAACACATCTGTCATGATCCCATCAGTTCCAGCTGCTTTACTCATATATATTTATACATATTTTCAACAAATTCCTATTTAAAAAGTAAAAAATTATAGGCATTCTAATCACTAAAGCAACTTTTCCTCTATTCAATAATCATGTCCTCACCACTCTCCTATATAACAGTGACCCTCCATTTTGAATCTATCACAAAAAATCTGTTCTCCCAATTTTTTCCATCAATAAACCATAAACAAGAATCTCAATAATTGAAACCATCCCAGTAAAAATCTCATGCACTGCATGGAACAGGATTTTTTTTATATTATGCACACTTACTGGACAGATCCATTCTTTTATGTCTAGGTTAAAATTTGCCACTCGCAGAAAATTTGCGGGTGCTACGATTAATGCACAGATCTATATAACCGATGCTGACCCCAATCATACAGATCTACATGACATACAGTGAAAAGGTTAAGCTGCCAATCACCAAAAACAGATTGTTTCAAGTCTCAAACTTACATTATTATTATTCTTGCATTCATAAGGGGGAACTCTAAACTTTCAGGAGTCATACAGCGCATAAACTAATGAAAGAAATAAAGTTCAAACTAAGGAAAGTGAATCAACGTTTAGGTTCACTTGAGGGGTTAATGCAATACAGTACAACATTACTCAAGATGAAAATTGCTTTCATGCTCTGAAAGTATACATGTATATGTACTGTAATAAGTACATAATATATTCATGTGGAAGCACTAAATTCACAAGAGACCATACAGAACCTGGTAAATGGTAGGTAATTGGGACAGATCCCTGAGAGGTAAGAGTAGCTGCAATTCCTTTGAACAAGAGCCCTTCACCAGGATCAATACACCTCCAGCAAAGTGGATTTGTAGTGGAGAGTTTTGTATGTCTTGCTTTCTTAAAAAGCCAACTGAAAATACATGTGATTTTTTTTTTTATCACATCTGCCATTTCCTACCAAGGCAGGGTGACCCAAAAAAGAAGAAACACTTTCATCACTCATTTCATCAGTGTCTTGCCAAAAGCATACCAATACTACAATTCAAAAACTGCAAATACCTATACGTATGTGCCTGTGACACTTGTAGCCAGCCTTTTGCAAAGCTAATACAAAATAAAAGTATATAATGAGTTTGTTAAAGCAAAATATGATTTCACAACACTTCTTGGAGTCAAAGCCAGAGCCAGCAGCTCTCTCCACTCCCAGACCATCATTTTATTACAATACTTTTGCATTTTTCTTGATTATTACTTTTTCTAGATGGCTTAGCGCTTCTTTTTGATTATAATAATAATAATACTTTTTCTAGTGCATTCATCCTTTATATGTTTGTCTGGTCAAGGTGTGGCAAGTTTCTATTTATTAGGCACAATCTGGTAAGGAGACTGGGCTCTTATTTTCATGATGCTGATATGGTCTTTGTGGGTTAGTTAATTACTATTGTATTATTACATTCATGGGGAAGTGTTAAACCTGTAGGGATCATATAGCACTTGGAAACTGAGAGGCTATAGGTTCAATCCAAGGAAATGGAGAATAGGTTTAATTCCTTAGATCAAGAGCTTCTTATTAGCATATAGGCACCTCTTTTGCAGGAAGTGAGCAAGCTAATCAACCTTGTTACATCCAACTTGGCCCAGTAGGCTCAAAATAACCCTCCCCACACTCTTCAAGTGCATCAAGTAACGACTAACAGAATGTGAGATACGTTGTACTATAGTACTTTTAACCTAATACAAGAGCAAAAAAAATTACTGTAAAATTTGGAGGTATATTGAACATAACCCTATTTCTTCCACATGTTCTCAACTTTAGATAAAGCTATTTTTCATAAGGTGCCAATTTTCAAGAAATGCATCCTGCATGTTCTGAAAGGGATTACTGTACAAACAATGAAATTGCTGAGGCAATATACAAAAATATACAAATATTTTTTAACTGCATTGTCATTATCATCGAGGTGTATTGGGACAGCTTCTGTATCCTTGTTTACGAGGTGAAGTAAGGTTACTTGGGCCACGAGGAACACTGGGGTCTGTTAATGCCATGAGGGTGTCAACTTGAGCAGCAATCAGTGCCATTGTGTCTACAATTGTAGATATCAGCGCAGGTTGAATGAGAGGTGAGGTACCAAGTGAAGCCTGAGCAGAGAGCACCGAGGCACAGTGACAAGCTGCAGCCACTTGTTCGATGAGAATTTGACACAGCTGGTGGCACTCGTGCAAGCGCCCACGAGCTTCTACAACCCAACCTTCTGTCACAACACGCAGATTATTTTCTTGGTTTATCTGTGCAAAATAATGAAATATTATTATTACATTCATGGAAAAAATAAATTTATAAGGGTCATAAAGTGCTACATGACAGAGGTGAAAGAGATGGTTGAGGAAAGAAAGTGGGGGTACTCATTAATTCACTCACATTTATACCATGCATCTCCCTCAAACTAATCTTCTATATCCTTAGAAAACATATTTAAGTTGTTAATCATGCTGTGCATACTATGGGCTTTTCAAATACTTTTATATACAGTATATATAATGCTTCAAAAATAAAGAATTCGGAATCTTGAAATTTAAATATAGAAGACATCAAGTAAAATAAGAAAAACCAAAGGTCTAAAGGAAGTTGGTTATCAAATTCATTAATCCACTGTTTCATGGTTATCAGACAAAAGACTGTAAAAAAAAAAAAAAAATTAAAAATTACTGATACAATATTTGTTGCAAATCACAGACTCAGAATACTTAAGATAACTAACCTGAGTTTTTGTTTGTTGAAGAGTCTGTAGAGCTTCTGTTAGCTTCACTCCCAACTCTTGCATTTCTACTTCCAGTTTATCAGCATATGCACACTCAGGTGTACTCCTTAAAGGAGCATTACTATGCCAACGGGCAATTGCTGAGGTCATCTTGCGGCGAGGCCCAAGTTTCCTGAAGAACCAAACAATGCTGATATATTCTATTAGAGTGTGTTCTTTTTTATTATAATAATAATAATAATCTATTAGAGTGTAAGACTGAAGCAACCTGCTAGAATGTAAAATAAACAATATATATATATTTAAAAGGAAGTGCAATAAAGTCTCCAGCAATATTTTTGTTTTACCTGGGAATACATACAGCCCTCTACCACTACAGATGTACATGGCTATATAAATAATATTAGGTGCTTGTATTAACCCTTTCAGGGTTTCGGCCATACTAGTACAGCTTAAAAAGCGATACACACTTTGATCTTAGCCAAATGGCCGAGAAAAGTATTAGTACGGCTTACACACCAGGGTTTTTGACGTACTAGTACGCCTAAATTCTAGTGCTCTCAAATCTAGTGAGAGAAAGCTGGTAGGCCTACATAGGAAAGAATGGGTCTATGTGGTCAGTGTGCACAGTATAAAAAAAATCCTGCAGCACACAGTGCATAATGAGAAAAAAAAAACTTCGACCGTGTTTTTGCACTGTATTTTTGTATGGTATTTATTGTTGTACTCTAGTTTTCCTGGTCTCATTTTATAGAATAGAAGACATATTACAGAAATTGAGATGATTTTGACTGGTTTTACAATGAAAAGTACCTTGAAATTGAGCTCAAAGTAGCAGAAATGTTCGATTTTTACCTAAGTTCAAAAGTAAACAAATCATGCTAAGCGTCCAATACACGTCAACTGGTGAGTCTAATATTCTTTCACAAGTGCGCTGACATTATTTATACCATTTCTACACTAACGCAGTAGTCTGCATAACAGTAAATCTTCTATTTTTTGTGAGAATAAAAATTCAAAGTGGAAAGCATAAGAATGTAAGAGGGGTGTGGGGACATGACTAATGAACAGAGAAAAATGTTATTTTAGTGCCAGGAATGTCTTTCTTGTTTATTCTGGACCCTATTTAGAAACTGGCATCTTTTGAAATTTGTGTGAAATTGGCTAAATTGCTAAATTCTGACCACTGTATTGAATAGTTGAAATCGGTAAATGGGTGGTTTCTTGTACTCATTCGATAGATTAAATGGAGTTCTAGCGAAATAGTTATGATTTTTGTCGACTAGTACACTGGAATTGGCCGAAAATAGGGCTCAAAGTGGGCAAAATCGCCGATGCGTAAACATCGTCAAGACCGCTAACTTCACGAGAGCATAATTCCGTAAGTTTTCCATCAAATTTCATACTTTTAGTGTCATTATGATCGGGAAAAGATTCTCTATCTTTTTATAGGAAATTTTTTTTTTTTTTTTTGAAAATTTGGCGACCCTGAGAACAAGTCTCAGAGAGGGCCTGGCGACCCTGAAAGGGTTAATTATGTATCCTTCAAAATTTACTAATTTACAGAACAAGAATGGAAACTAAACACACAAATGAGCCCCTAGGGATGTTATCAAACACTTCCTTAGTCTGTGTGATAAACTGGAAAGAGTAGGATAAGAAAGAGTGATGGAGGCAAAATCAATGCCCACTTTTAAGAGTATGATTGGGACCAAGAGGCAATTACCATATATTTTACCATGTATGTTGGAGTGACATCTAAACTGTCATATCTGAGTGCCTCTACAAAGACAGTGATGTTGTGTGAATGATGCTGAAAGTGTTTCGTTTTTGAGTCACTCTGCCTCGGTGGGAGATGGCTGTCGTGTTAAAAAAAAAAATTCCTGGCCATAAGACAAGTACTTTCTTGCTAAATATGCCCAGAGTTATACCACCATGAGTAAGACACATGTGCAACAGTTTGGCATTTCTGTTGACAAGACAACTTGTTCGCTGAGCAAAATTCAGTCAAAATTCAAAAAGAGACAGCATGTGTGTCTTGCTCATATATGTCAATATAGCCTCTCCTCACTTAACAATGGAGTTCCATTCCTAAGACCACATCATTAAATAAATTTGTCACTGAGGAGCATACTATACTGGTAGTGAGTTTGTGTCAACCATCATTGATATTGTTTTAATGTCACCTTTGCACCATTTATAACATTTCTGGTATATTTTTAAATGTTTATACAGTAGTGCACTGTATATTGAAAATAAACAGAATAGAGGAAATCAGTTCTAATATACATTATTTAGGTATGAATACTGGTCAGAGAGCCCGTCGTAAGTCCGAGTCACCAGTAAACAAGGATGTTGCTAAGTGAGGAGAGGCTGTACTTTTTTTTTTAACAGACCATCTGTCTCCCACCAAGGCAGGGTGACCCAAAAAAGAAGAAACACTTTCATAGTTTTTCTTCTTATTTTTAAATCATTCTAGCCCCTTGCTCCCAGCATGTTAGCTGCCTCTTATGACACACATGGCTTACAGAGGAAGGATTCTTCTCTACTTTCCCATTATATTAATGAACCAGTAGGTCTATTGCAGTGCACCTTAATTCTTATGAACATAGGAACAAATGAGCACTGCAGCAGGCCTACTGGCCCATTCTAAGTAGGTCCTTCTCAAACTCAATCCTTCTCACTCATATTTGTCCAACTTTTTTTTAAGCTACCCAAAATGTTCACTTCAGTGTCTCTACTTGACAATTTCCTCAGCTTGTTAAAATTCATTGCATTTCACACTACTACACACAGGACCTGAAATCAAAGAGAAACTTTAATGGCAACAAAAACCAGTAGAATTCAAATGGCTTACCAAAAGCAACAGTAAAGAAAAAACACACTTGCATAACAGACTTTTATTAAAACCACATTTTGCTCTGTATAAAGTTCTACAGAGTGAAACAGAAGAAACATTTTTGCAGATGAAGAGTACCTCAGGAAAGTGAGGTATAGCAACACTGTGTACAGCATTGTACTGGTGATCTGATAACTGTAACTGCAGTTTAAAAGAGGGTGGGGCCATGGTCATGAAGTATGCTAGTGTGGTGATACAAAACTGTCATAAACTTCCTCTCCCAAGTGCAGTTTATTTGTGAATTTCTCCTCCCACGGTATTATGCCTTTTATTCTTCACTAAGGAACTATAACCTCCAGGGCAGTGATACTGACTTAGTAAACCCACAATGTAAATTATTATATTTTTGGGAAGCCCTAGACCCATAGAGGTCATACAGTGCCTCCCCAAAGCAGCTAAACCATGTCAATGGAAATGTTCCCCTGTGTATCTGAGATGTATCAAAAGAGACCATCAACAATATCAAAGATCAAACAATTTAATACTCTCACATATTAAGTGCCAAACTGGCAAGGTATTAAGCTCACGTACCACAAATGCATCATGTATCTGTATTAACTTACTGAATGCCACATTCTTTAAGGTCTTGGTCTGTCAATGTGAGGAAGATTTGAAGATCCACATCTTGCTCCCGGAAGATACTCATGTATGAGCTCAGTCCCAATTTGGTCCAGCAGGGTCTCAAGGTCCGTTGGTTGAACATTAGCTAAACAAAATAGTTGCAAATTAAAGTCAGTAAATAAATAATCCAATAAACAATTTAAATTTCTTATTCCACCATACCATTAGGGTGGCATCCTCTGAAGTTAATGTACTATAACTGTTATTTGTAACTATTATCAATTAATATTTTAATTTTGAAATTTTACACAACTGATGAACAGTTGCATACATACATTAATGATTTGTCTGTTTCTTTGGGTCACCCTATTTTGGTGTGAAACTGCCCATGTGGTATGGAAAAAAAATACACAGTAGCTTGTGTGTGTAAATGATCAAGGAAAAAGGAGCATGTGTCCACAGCAGTAATGAGACTTTGGAAAGGAAAAGAAGGAACATACTTGAATCATCTGTACCTCCCAAGGTGAAACAGAAAAGAAATGAACAGGGTAAACAGAAATGAATGGTATACTGAGAGTAGTAACTAAAGTCTGCAGGCAAAGATTAAAACAGCATGATAAATGACGAGTGAGTATCAACTTTACTAAAAAATTTTTTTCAACAAACCGGCCATATCCCACCAAGGCAGGGTGGCCCAAAAAGAAAAACGAAAGTTTCTCTTAACTTTACTAATGTCTGTGATTATTCAACAGGTCGCAGTGTCATGAAGATCATGAAGTGTAGACAGTGAGTGTCTCGATAGTTTTACAATGATGAAACATTAGGCTTTACATAGAGGGTGTCATCTGGGGACAAGGAGAAGTCCATAGTGATGAACAGCATCAAACATGGAAATATTAGCTGCTGAAGCAAATACATCTGATCCCCCATAATCAAATTTATGTATTAGAAAGACCATATGAAGATGAAGAAAAACTCACTTGTCAGCCCCTCTTCCTCCTCAAGTAAATTGTGACAAAATTTTAAGTAAATTCAGTCTGCTAAGACATGCCACTTTTAGGAATGTCACACATACTTTCCATGACATTCTACAGTCAAAGTGGAAGCACAGAAATTTAACAGTTTGACAGACCAGGAAAGGAAAAAAAGAGTAGTGGTACCAATACTTTTATATAGAAGTGAGGCATGGGATCCAAAAGCTGTAGCAAGGAGAACTGAAGACAGTGAAGATTTCATGTTTGAGAGGAATGTGTGATGTAATATGCATAAAATTCAGAGCATAAAAATTAGATGATGGAGCAGGCTTACCAAAATGGCTAATTCAGAGGACTTAGAAGGGGTTATTGAGGTGGTTTGGGCATTTAGACAAGATGGAGTATAATAGGATGATCAAGAGGGTGTATAAATCTGAGGCAGGGGGGATGGGGAAGGAGGGAGAGGGTAGGGGTCATCCCAGAAAGGGTTGAAGTAGGTTTTCAGTTCTAGGGGCTTGTGCATCCACTAGATTTGTACAAGCATCTTTGATCAGTGTGGAAGATGAGTAGTATTCTTGGCTTGACCTGCTACTGAAGTGTGAGCAAAGTAACATTTATGTAGGGACTCAGGGAAAAACTGGATAGCCAGACTGTGTCGTGGAGATGGAAAGCATAGTGCCTGCATTCTGAAGGAAGGGTGGGGATACTGCAGCTTGGAGGATTCTTCGAACTGCAATATTTTGAGTGATGGTGAATGTGCTTACTATTTTTCAATGTTTATAATTGTGTTGAACTATGTGGAAGTGTAAGGACAATTATATGTTTTACATAATATTTAATACTTGACACTAAACAATAATCAACAGTAGAATTTTTTATGGTTGATGAGGTAAAAATTGGAGTGAAAATAGACCAGGACAGCACAAAATTTCCTTTATAAAATGAGGATTAATAATGAATTATTCCAACCACAGTATTGTGACTTTTACTTTTTTTAACATTAAAATATAAATTGTAACTTCCATTTTTCCTGATCTGTGCCAGAGCACTACATAAATGCTGAAATTTAAGTACTGTATAGATTTTTTTTTTGTAACAAGTCGGCTGTCTCCCACTGAGGCAGGGTGACCCAAAAAGAAAATCCCCAAAAAGAAAATACTTTCATCATCATTCAACACTTTCACCTCACTCACACATAATCACTGTTTTTGCAGAGGTGCTCACAACACAATACTGTATAGGTATAGTCATTATAATGATGGATGAAAATTATCACTTGCATTATATTTATTACCCTACATCATTTATCACAAAGCAAACCTGACATAACACCCACCATTATCAAGAGAAGGCACTACATTTCCTCTGGTCCTAGGTGTTTGGGGCTGCAGGTGGGTTCGTCTGGCTTCCACTGCTGCTGGACCATCAAACAGGCTTGGACCACTCAAGCCTGAAAGACATGAAATCAATATCTGATAAAGAATAATAAGTATTTAATTTATAATCCTAATTATTTCCTGTAAGAGAAAAGGGAGCATGAGCAAGAAGGGAGAGCAAGTAGAAATAGGAGAGAGAAAGGGACAGGAGAGAGAAAAAAAGAGAGAAGGAGGGATGGGAAGAGAGAGGGGAGGAAAGAAAAGGGGGAGGAAGAGAGGAAGGGAAGAAGGGCAAGAGTTAAAGAAGAACTACTGGCAAGGGATGCCAAAACATTACAGATGACAAGTGGAATTTCTCACTTTAATGTCAATATTGCTGTCACACTAATAAGTAGTAATATACATTAAAAGCGAGGAAAAACATGTCTGGTCTAGCAGTTATCTATCTGTACTTACCTGTGGTGCTCATCATTAAAGTATGTCTACCCCCTCTAAAATCACAACCACAGAATAGGTCACCCTCTTGCACTTTAAGGCATCTTTCAACCATCTTGGAAGTGATTAGCATACATTCTCCAGGGTTTCATGGGGTAAATTTCTCCACAATTCATGGATGGCATCCTAAAGCCATAGGAGTGGGCTAATATCCTTCCTCTATTAGATCTCTCTATATCAGTCCAGAGGTTCTCAATAAGGTTCATGCCCAGCAAATTTAGCAGTGTGGCAAGGAGCAATGTTTTGCACCACACTGAGTGAAAGATTCAAGTCCATGTTAATAGACCATTTCTAGGTGCATTAGTACAGTTAAAGTTAGAAGCAATGTTCTTCTAGGCTTCCCTAGATATGCTTTTGGTGTGGGTATGTCATGAACATTGTCCTTAAGGAACACACACAACTAGGTCCTCACTGGATGGTCACACACATCACTGGCTTCTACTATTTCCTTTATTTGATAGCCTGCCTTATGTAATCCAATGCCCTCTGCAAATGTCTCTTGCATCAGCGAATTACTCATTCCCATGTTAATTCGTCAGTAACCAAAAATGTTTGCCAAACTTGGCCATCAAGACTACATGGTGCAGTGGGACCACAGACACAAAATTGTCTGCCCCCCAAACCCAGAAGGTATTAGGATGCAGCCAGTAGCCATAGGGAATCCTGAGACATTCCATTTCAAGCTGCCTTTCCAGTACTGTAAATTTGTCTCATCAGCAAATGTACCAAAGTAGGGTATTACTTTGGACATTAAATTACATCAGGTGCCTTCCATCTGCTGTACCTTAATAATGAGCACTGTACCCATAGGAACAAATAGCAGCTTTTGGTGTGGTGTTTGCATCCTATGGGCCTCTAGATTATTGTTTTGTGTATACAGTAATTTTGAAATAAAGAATTGTATTATACAATTGTATTATACGAATTGTATTATAAGTTGAGAAAGCCTAGGGAACACGTGGATTTGACAGTTAAAAATAGGAGAGGAGAGTTATTAAATGGAGAGTTAGAGGTATCAGGAAGATGGATATTTTGAGGAACTGTTAAATATTGATGAAGATAGGGAAGCTGTGATTTTGCGTATAGGGCAAAGGAGGAATAACATCTTGTAGGAGTGAGGATGAGCCAGTTGTGAGTGTGGGGGAAGTTCGTGAGGCAGTGGGTAGAATGAAAGGGGATAAGGCAGCTGGGATTGATGGGATAAAGATAGAAATGTTAAAAGCAGGTGGGGATATAGTTTTGGAGTGGTTGGTGTTATTATTTAATAAATGTATGGAAGAGGGTAAGGTACCTAGGAATTGGCAGAGAGCATGCATAGTTCCTTTGTATAGAGGCTAAGGGGATAAAAAAAGAGTGCAAAAACTATAGGGAAATTAGTTTGTTGAGTATACCTGGTAAAGTGTATGGTCGAGTTATTATTGAAAAAATTAAGAGTAAGACGGAGCGTAGGATAGCAGATGAACAAGGTGGCTTTAGGAAAGGTAGGGGGTGTGTAGACCAAGTGTTCACAGTGAAACATACAGGTGAACAGTATTTAGATAAGTGTAAAGAGGTTTTTGTGGCATTTATGGATCTGGAAAAGGCATATGACAGGGTGGATAGAGGGGCAATGTGACAGATGTTGCAGGTGTATGGTATAGAAGGTAGGTTACTGAAAGCAGTGAAGAGTTTTTACAAGGATAGTGAGGCTCAAGTTAGAGTATGTAGGAAAGAGGGAGATTATTTCCCAGTAAAAGTAGGCCTTAGACAAGGATTTGTGATGTCACCGTGGTTGTTCAATATATTTATAGATGGGGTTGTAAGAGAAGTGAATGTGAGGGTCTTGGCAAGAGGTGTGTAGTTAAAAGATAAAGAATCATACATAAAGTGCGAGTTGTCACAGTTGCTCTTTGCTGATGACACTGTGCTCTTGGGAGATTCTGAAGAGAAGTTGCAGAGGTTGGTGGATGAATTTGGTAGGGTATGCAAAAGAAGAAAATTAAAAGTGAATACAGGAAAGAGTAAGGTTATGAGGATAACAAAAAGATTAGGTGATGAAAGATTGGATATCAGATTGGAGGGAGAGAGTATGGAGGAGGTGAATGTATTCAGATATTTGGGAGTGGATGTGTCAGCGGATAGGTCTATGAAAGATGAGGTGAATCATAGAATTGATGAGGGGGAAAAGGGTGAGCGATGCACTTAGGAGTCTGTGGAGACAAAGAACTTTGTCCTTGGAGGCAAAGAGGGGAATGTATGAAAGTATAGTTTTACCAACGCTCTTATATGGGTGTGAAGCATGGGTGATGAATGTTGCAGCTAGGAGAAGGCTGGAGGCAGTGGAGATGTCATGTTTGAGGGCAATGTGTGGTGTGAATATAATGCAGAGAATTCGTAGTTTGGAAGTTAGGAGGAGGTGCGGGATTACCAAAACTGTTGTCCAGAGGGCTGAGGAAGGGTTGTTGAGGTGGTTCGGACATGTAGAGAGAATGGAGCGAAACAGAATGACTTCAAGAGTGTATCAGTCTGTAGTGGAAGGAAGGCGGGGTAGGGGTCGGCCTAGGAAAGGTTGGAGGGAGGGGGTAAAGGAGGTTTTGTGTGCGAGGGGCTTGGACTTCCAGTAGGCATGCGTGAGTGTGTTTGATAGGAGTGAATGGAGACAAATGGTTTTTAATACTTGACGTGCTGTTGGAGTATGAGCAAAGTAACATTTATGAAGGGATTCAGGGAAACCGGCAGGCCGGACTTGAGTCCTGGAGATGGGAAGTACAGTGCCTGCACTCTGAAGGAGGGGTGTTAATGTTGCAGTTTAAAAACTGTAGTGTAAAGCACCCTTCTGGCAAGACAGTGATGGAGTGAATGATGGTGAAAGCTTTTCTTTTTTGGGCCACCCTGCCTTGGTGGGAATCGGCCAGTGTGTTAATAAAAAAAAAACAGTTTGGAAATTAGAAGGTGTGGGATTACCAAAACTATCGTCCAGAGGACTGAGGAGGGGTTGTTGAGGTGGTTCGGACATGTAGAGAGAATGGAACAAAACAGAATGACTTTGAAAGTGTATAAATCTGTAGTGGAGGGAAGGCGGGGTAGGGGTCAGCCTAGAAAGGGTTGGAGGGAGGGGGTAAAGGAGGTTTTGTGTGCGAGGGGCTTGGACCTCCAGTAGGCATGCGTGAGCGTGCTTGATAGGAGTGAATGGAGACAAATGGTTTTTAATACTTGACGTGGTGTTGGAGTGTGAGCAAAGTAACATTTATGAAGGGATTCAGGAAAACCGGCAGGCCGGACTTGAGTCCTGGAGATGAGAAGTACAGTGTCTACATTCTGAAGGAGGGGTGTTACTGTTGCAGTTTTATAACTGTAGCATAAAACACCCCTCTGGCAAGACAGTGATGGAGTGAATGATGATGAAAGTTTTTCTTTTTCGGGCCACCCTGCCTTGGTGGTAATCGGCCAATGTGTTAATAAAAAAAATAATTATACTGTAAAACTGCCAGTGATTATAGCCCTTACTATCATTTCTTGTAGCCCATTCTATTTTTCTACTACTCTGCAAAGAGCTTTCTAAAATCTATTTTTGACAGTTCTTGTTTAATTTATAGCTATGTCCCCTTGTCCTCCCTGATTGTGAGGTTAAGAAATCTTCCCTATCAATTCTTTCACATCTTTCATATTCTTTCATATCTTATTTTTTCTGAAAACAGTGGATGTACCCAATAAATGTACATTCACTGTTGGTGAATTTGTGCTTCATACATGCACATGTGTAAAGGTAGAAAGTTGAAAGTGAATATAGATAAGAGTAAGGTGATGAGGGTATCAAATGATTTAGATAAAGAAAAAATTGGATATCATATTGGAGAGAGGGAGTATGGAAGAAGTGAATGTTTTCAGATATTTGGGAGTTGACGTATCAGCGGATGGGTTTATGAAGTATGAGGTTAACCACAGAATTGATGAAGGAAAAAAGGTGAGTGGTGCATTGAGGTATATGTGGAGACAAAAAACATTATCTATGGAGGCAAAGAAGGGAATGTATGAAAATATAGTGGTACCAACTCTCTTATATGGGTGTGAAGCTTGGGTTGTATATGCTGCAGCGAGGAGGCGGTTGGAGGCAGTGGAGGTGTAATGTCTAAGGGCAATGTGTGGTGTAAATATTATGCAGAAAATTTGGAATGTGGAAATTAGGAGAAGGTGTGGAGTTAATATAAGTATTAGTCAGAGGGCTGAAGAGGGGTTGTTGAGGTGGTTTGGTCATTTAAAGAGAATGAATCAAAGTAGAATGACATGGAGAACATATAAATCTGTAGGGAAAGGAAGGCAGCATAGGGGGTCATCATCAAAAAGGTTGGAGGGAGGGGGTAAAGGAGATTTTGTGGGTGAGGGGCTTGGACTTCCAGCAAGCGTGTGTGGACGTGTTAGATACGAGTGAATGGAGACAAATGGTTTTGGGGACCTGACGAGCTGTTGGAGTGTGAGCAGCATAATATTTAGTGAAGGGATTCAGGGAAACTGGTTATTTTTATATAGCTGGGCTTGAGTACTGGAAATGGAAAGTACAATGCCTGCACTTTAAAGGAGGGGTTTGAGATATTGGTAGTTTGGAGGGATATGTTATATATCTTTATATATGCTTCTAAACTGTTGTATCTGGGTGCCTCTGCAAAAACTGATTATGTATGAGTGAGGTGAAAGTGTTGAATGATGATGAAAGTATTTTCTTTTTGGGGATTTTTTCTTTCTTTTTGGGTCACCCTGCCTCGGGAGACGGCTGACTTTTTTTTTTTTTTTTTTTTTTAACAAGTCGGCCGTCTCCCACCAAAGCATGGTGACCCAAAAAGAAAGAAAATCCCCAAAAAGAAAATACTTTCATCATCATTCAATACTTTCACCTCACTCATACATAATCACTGTTTTTGCAGAGGTGCTCAGAATACAACAGTTTAGCAGCATATACGTATAGATACACAACATATCCCTCCAAACTGCCAATATCCCAAACCCCTCCTTTAAAGTGCAGGCATTGTACTTCCCCTTTCCAGAACTCAAGTCCGGCTATATAAAAATAACCAGTTTCCCTGAATCCCTTCACTAAATATTACCCTGCTCACACTCCAACAGCTCGTCAGGTCCTAAATACCATTCGTCTCCATTCACTCCTATCTAACACGCTCATGCACACTTGCTAGAAGTCCAAGCCCCTCGCCCACAAAATCTCCTTTACCACCTCCCTCCAACCTTTTCGAGGACGACCCCTACCCCGCCTTCCTTTCCCTACAGATTTATATGCTCTTCATGTCATTCTACTTTGATCCATTCTCTTTAAATGACCAAACCACCTCAACAACCCCTCTTCAGCCGACTTGTAGGGAGAAAAAAAAAGCATGCACACACATGTGCAACTGCCACCACAGTGAGAAGACCTACAAATACCTTACAGAAGATAGGTACAGTATAATACTGTATGTATTTATAATATAATTATTGGTACATATTACTTTTTACAACACTTTACCTTAGAAGAGGACATAATGCAAATACTGGATATGTTTCAGAGAAAACAGAAAATAAAAAAAGGCCTTATAATAGTAACTTCATACAAAGGAAGTGAAGGTACTTGTATATTTGTGAAGAGGCACATCAGCACACAAGTCTATCCCAGATGAAGTGAGCCAGTGCTAGAGGCAGTGGAGATGGCATTTTTAACAGACATGTCAGTATTATGAAGAGTATTCAAAGTGTAGAAATTCTGAAGATGCTGTAGCTTACCAAATGTATAATCTATACAGCTGAGGAAGGGAAAGCAGGGATGAGGTGGTTTGGGCATTTAGAAAGGATAACCAAGTGGGTGTATATCTACAGTGGAAGGAAGGTGTAGAGGTCATGCCAGGAAAGGTTGGAAGGAGGGAAATAAAGAAAGTTTGGAGTGTTAGGAACCTGGGCATCAAGCAGGCTTTTGTGAATGTGTTATATTGGAATGGGTAGCAACAAGTGATATGTATGGCTTAATGTGCTGTTTGTGTGTGAGCAAGGTAACATTTATGAAAGGAATGAGGGAAGAGGGATAGCTAGATTTAATTCCTGGCAGCAGGAAGTACAGTGCCTGAACTCCTAAATTATTTAGATAGTTGCAGAATTTTGGGGAAAACTGGCATAGCCTTCCTGTTAGTTTTTTCAAGAATTTACTATACAAGTGTATCTCATGCAAATATATACAGCATTTTTTAAATGTGAAAAATTCTATTGTACACACTTTCTCAAAAAAGACGAGGCATTTTTTATGCTGTAAGTGATATTTTTACACAAATTTAATTAAATTCTAGTCACTGGAGAGATTGAAAGTGGTAAATATAACCTTTTAAAATTTCACAAAATTATATAATGAATTATACAATGAATATGGAACATCAATAGCATAGCTCTTCTTCTGTAGTTATAACTCATCAATAAAAAAGGTACGTGTAATTACATCTCCCCAGGAAATACAGGCTCTGGACATACTCTAGAAGTATGATTAAGACAATTTTTTTAAAATTATATGGTGTTATGGCAAAGAAATGTATCAAGGTTACCTTGATGATCCCACTGAGTGATAGTGGCAGCTATATCAGGAAAGCCAGCATCCTTAGCAATCCTCACTGCTGTGTGTCCCTGGGGATTTGTAAGGGAAACAACTGCTCCACCTCGTAGTAACAGTGACACCATTCTTGCATCACCCAGTTGTGCAGCATACATAAGAGGTGTCATACCTCTTACTCGATCACTACAAAAAGCCAGACCAACGCTTACTAGATAAACCTAAGAACAATAAAACTGGCTTGGCAGATATATTCTTGTTTGAAATCTTATTTTTTATACATTTTAAATAATTAATTTTTAACTCTCTCTGTCCCTCCCTCTCAGCATCATGAATATCTTACCTGAAGGATCTAGGAAGGGAAAGAAATAATTCTTGGGTCAAGAACTTTTCAGCAACATAAAAAGTGTCTTACTTGAAGGGTCTATAAAGGAAGACAATAACAATTGTGTGGGACATACCAAACATTTTTATTATTTTATTATTATCACACTGGCCGATTCCCACCAAGGCAGGGTGGCCTGAAAAAGAAAAACTTTCACCATCATTCACTCCATCACTGTCTTGCCAGAAGGGTGCTTTACACTACAGTTTTTAAACTGCAACATTAACACCCCTCCTTCAGAGTGCAGGCACTGTACTTCCCATCTCCAGGACTCAAGTCCGGCCTGCCGGTTTCTCTGAACCCCTTCATAAATGTTACTTTGCTCACACTCCAACAGCACGTCAAGTATTAAAAACCATTTGTCTCCATTCACTCCTATCAAACACGCTCACGCATGCCTGCTGGAAGTCCAAGCCCCTCGCACAACGAAACCTCCTTTACCCCCTCCCTCCAACCTTTCCTAGGCCGACCCCTACCCCGCCTTCCTTCCACTACAGACTGATACACTCTTGAAGTTATTCTGTTTCGCTCCATTCTCTCCACATGTCCGAACCACCTCAACAACCCTTCCTCAGCCCTCTGGACAACAGTTTTGGTAATCCCGCACCTCCTCCTAACTTCCAAACTACGAATTCTCTGCATTATATTCACACCACACATTGCTCTCAGACATGACATCTCCATGCCTCCAGCCTTCTCCTCGCTGCAACATTCATCACCCATGCTTCACACCCATATAAGAGCGTTGGTAAAAACTATACTCTCATACATTCCCCTCTTTGCCTCCAAGGACAAAGTTCTTTGTCTCCACAGACTCCTAAGTTTCACCACTCACCCTTTTCCCCCCATCAATTCTATGATTCACCTCATCTTTCATAGACCCATCCGCTGACACGTCCACTCCCAAATATCTGAATACATTCACCACCTCCAACTCTCTCCCTCCAATCTGATATCCAATCTTTCATCACCTAACCTTTTTGTTATCTTCAAAACCTTACTCTTTCCTGTATTCACTTTCAATTTTCTTCTTTTGCACACCCTACCAAATTCATCCACCAATCTCTGCAACTTCTCTTCAGAATCTCCCAAGAGCACAGTGTCATCAGCAAAGAGCAACTGTGACAACTCCCACTTTATGTGTGATTCTTTATCTTTAAACTCCACGCCTCTTGCCAAGACCCTCGCATTTACTTCTCTTACAACCCCATCTATAAATATATTAAACAACCACGGTGACATCACACATCCTTGTCTAAGGCCTACTTTTACTGGGAAATAATTTCCCAAACATACATACATATATACACCTACCATCCGACTTAAGACCTGCTCGACATACGACCACTCGACTTACGACCATGTTTTGTATGCCAAATTTCTGGGAAATAAACAACTGTTTATGCTGTACACAGTCTTTATCCTAAACATTACAGTATAAAATACAGTACTAACAGCATAAAAAGTAAAGTAAAAAATGAAATACCAAAATAAAACAATAAAATAAAGTCATTACAAAAACGTTATGTTGATATTCAGTAGTAAGGTTCGACTTATGACTGGTTGGTCGGAACCAAGCTCGGTCGTAAGTCAGATGGTACTTGTCTAATAATATATGTAAAATCGTATATATATATATATATATATATATATACGTATATATATATATAACGTATATATATATATATATACGTATATATATATATATATACGTATATATATATATATAATACAACGTATATATATATATAATATATATATATATATATATATATATATATATATATATATATATATATATATATTATATATATATATATATAATAATATATATATACGTATATAATATATATACGTATATATATACATGTATATATATACGTATATATATATATACGTATATATATATATATACGTATATATAATATATACGTATATATATATATACGTATATATATATATATAATATATATATATAATAATATATATATATATATATATATATATATATATATATATATATATATATATATATATTATATATATAATATATATATATATATATATATATATACGTATATATATATATATATATATATATATATATATATATATATATATATATATATATATATATATATATATATATATATATAATTATATATATATACATATATTTTTTTTTTAACAAGTTGGCTGTCTCCCACCGAGGCAGGGTGACCCAAAAAAGAAAGAAAATCCCCAAAAAGAAAATACTTTCACCTCACTCACACATAATCACTGTTTTTGCAGAGGTGCTCAGAACACAACAGTTAAGAAGCATATACGTATAAAGATACACAACATATCCTTCCAAACTGCTAATATCCCGAACCCCTCCTTTAGAGTGCAGGCATTGTACTTCCCATTTCCAGGACTCAAGTCGGGCTATATAAAAATAACCAGTTTCCCTGAATTCCTTCACTAAATATTACCCTGCTCACACTCCAACAGATCGTCAGGTCCCAAATACCATTCGTCTCCATTCACTCCTATCTAACACGCTCATGCACGCTTGCTGGAAGTCCAAGCCCCTCGCCCACAAAACCTTTACCCCCTCCCTCCAACCTTTTCGAGGATGACCTCTACCCCGCCTCCCTTACCCAACAGATTTATACGCTCTCCATGTCATTCTACTTTGATCCATTCTCTCTAAATGACCAAACCACCTCAACCCCTCTTCAACCCTCTGACTAATACTTTTATTAACTCCACACCTTCTCCGAATTTTCTGCACAATATTTACACCACATATTGCCATATATATTTTTACATCCCCCACCACAATTACTCTCTCTCTCTCTCTCTTAGTTCAAAACTCCCTAAACACTCAATTAACATATCTCAAAATCTCAGTATCAATATCTATCTCTTTCCTCTCTAAGTGCATAAACACTTAGTATAACCCACTTTTCACATCTGACCCTTACTTTAACCCACATAATCCTTGAATTCATACATTTATATTCCCTCTTTTTCTGCCATAAAAAGTCCTTTAACATTATTGCTACTCCTTCCTTAGCTCTAACTCTCTCCGACACCCCTGACTTAATCTCATTTATTTTCCATGATGAAACTTTTACCCCCTTCAGCTTTGTTTCATTTAGAACCAGAACATCCAGCTTCTTTTCATTCATAACAGTGACAATCATCTCTTTATCATCATCTGCACTACATCCATGCACATTCAAACATCGTAACCTTAAGCTTTTTCTTATATTTAGTAATTATACAGAAAGGATTACTAGCCCCTTGCCCCCACCATTTTAGTCACCTTTAACAACACACATGGCTTACAGAGAAAGGATTCTTTTCCACTTCCCCAATTTTTTTTAACAAACCAGTTGCCTCACATCCACAGAGAAAACAAAAATGTTCACTGTCATTTATTCAATCACTGTCATGCCACATGGGAAATGGGATGTATTCAGGTCTGATTTAAGGAAGGGGAGGGGAAGGGTAGCTCTCTAATTCCTTGGATAAATGCTGACTGAGCTCATAATGCACACTAACCATCAATCAACCACTTACCATGAGTTAATGTTTACTCTGTACTTAAGCAATGTTTCAACAACACTATGATGTCCAGAATTAACAGCATGGAAAAGTGCTGTCCAGTTACGATTATCCCGAGTTTCCAAGATGCTACCTGCCTGCAAAAAAAAAAAAAATGAAAATAACAATTATTTATTGTTATACTGTTAATTAGGAAAAAATGACTTTTCTAAGTAAATAAGTCAAAAAAAACGGAATGAATGTGTGAAATACTGCAATGTATTCCGTGTCTGGATACTGACAAATCACTTCCAAATGACACTTCCTAAACTTAACTCTCTTCTACACCAGTTAAGTGACTTCCTGACCACTTTTAACCTAGTGAGCATCCTGCTACTGTCCATTTTCTCAAGAGGAATTACAGATTTTTAATATTGTGCTCCAGGAGAAGGTAGGCCAGTAAACACTAGGGGTGGGTAGGCCAGCAGACACCAAGAACAGGTAGGCCAGAAGACACCAGGAGCAGGTTGGCCAGCAGACACCAGGAGCAGGTAGGCCAGCAGACAGCATTCAGCAACACTTCAGTAGTCAGATAAGCTATCTCTCCTTTCATTCACCCTCATTTATATAAACAAGAGTATTAAATTTTTTGTCAAGATATAAACTAGCCCATAGTCTATGGGTCAATAATAGACCTATATGTGTGTATGCCATGAGTCTGTAAGATTGAGATAGAAATTGTTAGGACTACAACTAGCCCTTGGAGCTGATGACCAATTATTCAGTGATTTCTAAGGTTATTTACTCAATGAATAGCAGCAGCTGCTTTTCTCATGTGTAATAATAGGATTCTAATTAGATTAAGCATGCAGGACTGTTAATAGATTAAGCCTATCTACCTGTAAGCTTAGAAATACATGTATATACATTTCAATTACAGTACCATACTCCTGGCATTCCCAGATAATGCATAAATATTACTGACATGGTATTATTTCTTGCACGGCCACACCATGAGACAACTGTCCTTTCCTTTATAAACTGCCTCGGTGGGAGATGGCCGACTTGTTGAAAAAAAAAAAAAAAAATTTAATAATAAAATCATCACCAAAATAACCTTATTTTATTATACACATACTCGTAACTCTATTTTTATCCTTGTTTATGACTTTATTCCACAAGCAATAATACATTTAACCCCTTCATGGTCCAAGGCCCAAATCTGAAGTGGTGCCCCAGTGTCCAAGAATTTTCAAAAAATAAATTTGCTATTTTTTCTTATGAAATGGTAGAGAATCTTTTTGTGAAGGCAATAAAACAAAAAGTACGAAATTTGATGGAAAATTGACGAAATTATGCTCTCGCGAATTTTGATGTGTCAGCGATGTTTACGAATCGGCGATTTTGCCGACTTTGACTCCCATTTTAGGCCAATTACATTATTCCAGTCAACCAAATTCTTAGCTATTTCACTAGTATTACTTCTATTCTATCGATTGAGCACAAGAAATCGCCAAGTCAACTGTTTCAACTACAAATTAAAGTGATCGGAAATTGTTAATTTGGCCAATTTAACACAAAGTTCAAAATATTCCAATTTCAAAATAGGGTCCAGAATAAACAATGTAGGTATTCCAGGAACTAAACTAACATTTCCTCTGTTCATTAGTTATGTTTTGGGGCTTTACAAATAAATTCCATTTTGATTTTTCATTCACATAATGAATTTTTATTCACACCAAAAAATAGAAGATTTACTGTTATGCAAAACTGTAATAATTGTATAAATATCACCATATTTGTGAATGCATATTAGACCCACCAGCTGGCGTGTATTAGACGTGTGAGGTTGTTTGTTTACTCTTGAATATCGGCAAAAATTTAACTTTTCTGCTAATTTGAGCTCAGTTTCAAGCCATTTCCAGGGCTAAAACCAATCAAAATCATCTTTATTTCGGTAATATGTTTTCCATTCTATCAAATAAGACCAAGAAATCGCAAATACAACTATAAAAAACATACGAAAAAACACTGCAAAGTCACTGTTTTAATCGAAAAATCATGATTTCAGTTTTTTTTCTCTCATTATACACAGTGTGCTGCAGGATCTGTTTTATGCGGTGCACACATACCACATAGATGTATTCTCTCGTATCTAGGCCCAAATGTACCACTCACAGTTTATCAGAGTGAGCTGAGCTCATGACGTAGATCTACGGTTTGGACCCTGAACGTAAAGCCGTAGATCTACGGGACGGACCCTGAAAGGGTTAAGAATCTTGTACTAAATACCATGTTTATTACATGAATGTTTGCAAATAAAGTATACTAACTAACCTTAATGAGCATCTCCACAATGTTTTCGTTGCCACACATAACTGCCAACATGAGAGCATTGCAGCCATCATTATTACACAGGTGTACTGGTGCATTAGCCTCCAGGAGCAAACTGATCACTTCAGAATGAGCATAGTAAGCTGCATACATGAGTACTGTCCATCCACCCTGATTCTTATGGTTACACACGTTCTTCTCTCTGTAAGTAATCATCATTTTTAGTCAGCACTTTCAAGCATTAATACAGTACATAAGAGGCAACAGAAGTTTAATTAGAAAGGTATGTAAATGTAATATCTACAAAGTGGAGTAAATAATACATAGATGAAGTGGTTACGTTTTGGTTGAAGTATGGATGTGAGCCAACAAGTGATGATAAAAAAAAATACACGTACAGTATAGCAAAAGGAAACCTTTTTTATTTAAGGATGTTTCACCTACGAGAGGCTTTATCAAGTACATAATAAAGGCTTTTGTAAGTGAAATGTAAAAATAAAAAAACTTTTGCTTTACTGTTGTCTTTTTCCACCAGAGGATACCTTTATTAATGAAAATGTTTCTCTCACACGGTAGACTTTATAAAGCCTCTGTGGATGACCTGTTGCTATTAATAAAAGTATCCACTGTATCCAAGTCTCATTTACTCTAAGTAATGGAAGTCCATCATCAATAAAAAAAATCTTCACAAAAGCAATACATTATGTGAAGGTACTTATTACAGCATTATAATTGCTATTATTATTATTATTATTACAGTATTATATTCATGTGAAGTCATAGCAGTCATAGAGTGCCTAGGAAATGTGAAGTAATCAGGTTAGATCCAGGGAAGTGAAGGGCAGCTTCAATTCCCTGGATCAAGAACCCTTCACCAGCATTTTGGCACACTCCTGAAGGGATAATGGTATCAGTAATCATGAAATACGTACTGAATGTACTTTACAAATATTTCTCTAGTTTTCAAAAGGAAAAGTGAGATACATCACTGTACAGTGCTACAGTGGGTATATCTAGATGGAACTGAAGCAAAAGGATAAGGAGAGGCAAGAAATAGGTTGAACAAATATGAGATTAGTTAAATACAAGTAAGACTTGCCTTGCATCAGCCAGTAGGTCTGTTCCAGTTCTTCTGCATGATCACTGTTCATTCACATGACAACTGATTCTGACATGGATACTAGTCTTTTACTCAAAAGTTTGGAAACACTGAAGCTCCCAGACCTTTGTGGGATTGCCTTGATCATTTTCACAGGTGACTAGCAGTGCCTTATTAAACTTCATTAAGTGTCCACGTTCATCCTTGTGCTGTACACAGGTGTTGTTTCAGTTGTCCCATCTACAGGTGTTCCTGTGTTCATAAACCCTAATATCTAATGATCTAATAGTTTACCCCAACATACTTCCTGTTGCATCCTCCACATGGTGCATGACTTCCATCCTTAGTAATGCTAGCTTCAGTTAACACCACCAGCTTATGTAAAGTAGATGTCTTCTGAAGTTTAGTTGCAGTAATGGAAAGCATGAAAAGGAGTCATCAGAACAGCAGAATAAGCAGAAGCTGAAGTAACAGCAGGTTGAACAAAGATAGGAATAACAGCAACAGTAAGTACAGGTTACAGTATTCAAATAGAAAAACCATATTGAGTACTGTACCTTAAACCAAGAAGAAATAAAATACTCTACTAACTCCTTAAGAATATCTTTTACACGTTGATAAGAGCCAATACTAGCAGCTGTGAAGACATCTAGTAGAGGTGAACTTTTCTCATCACATCCATCTTCTCCGAGCCACACAGTCAATGGCCTGTCATAGAAACTTTTCTCGGTCCAAGTCTCTTCTAATTCCACCATAATTGACTTTCAGTGGAACACCTTGAAAAGCATTAATAAATCACTACATATATCATAGCAGTATGAGTGTTATATTCATGGGAAAATGCACTGTATGACCTCAAAATTGTTGAGGTCATACAGCGCCTTGAGGATATGAGGTACATAATTATATTTGATATAAGAAAGGGAAGGGTATCTGCACTAAATATATCATACACTGTGGAAGAGTACATATTTGTGTTGCAATTATGTACACAAATACATGTATAAAATATAAAACTCTATTGACATGTCTCTTAATTCCAGCATTATACTGTACAGGGCAACAAGCACTGCTCCTTGCAGCTACAACCAAAAAAATACACATTGGATTATTAAAATTACCTTCAACTCAGGGGTGGCACCAAGGAAAGCAGAAACCCCCCAAAAAATCCCATCACCACCCCATATAATAATCTGGAAGGTGTATAAAGCTGTAGTTGAGGGAAGGTGCGGTAGGCATCATCCTAGAAAAGGTTGGAGAGAGGAGGGTAAAAGAGGTTTTGCTGGTGAGGGGCTTGGATATCCAAGAGGCATGTGTGAGCATGTTAGATAGGAGCAAGTTGAAGCAAGTGGTTTTTATGACTTGCCATGCTATTGGAGTGTGAGCAAAGCAACATTTATGAAGGAATTTAGGGAAAGCAGTTTCCCAGATTTGAGTCTTGGAGGTGAGAAGTAGTGACTGCACCCTGAAAAAGGGCTGGGGATACTGCAATTTTGAGAGACACCTGAACTGTTTCAAAACAAGTCCCCTCATCCCCTCCTCCAACCAGAGTGCCACCTCTAATCCCCTCCTATATAAAACATCTGAGGGCCACCCCTGCACAAATGCTTCTTAATAATAATTAATCCATCCAAATAAGAGAACAAAAATATATTATTTGTTCACATTGCTATGCCATATACAGTAACATCATACATATGTACACACAAACAGATCACACAGAAAACAAAACTGCTCACCATAACCTATTGTTTTAAATATACAATACTATACTGAAACATGTATATATTCCTTACTTAACTAGTACGTACAGTATTTGACAGGATTACCCTTCATCTTAATGCATTCTTGAAGTCTCCTAAACACTGATAAGGCTAACTTATGCAGGATAGAAAGCTCAATACTACTTTCCCACACCTACTTAATGGCATTCGAAATTTTGGGGTTAGAAGACACGTCCAAGCCACAAAATTTACGATTAATAGGGTTCTAAATATTCTTCATTGGATTTAAATCCAGTGAGTTTCTGGGCCAGTCATTAGAGTATGGGAAATTCCCAACAGTTTTGATAATTCTTTATGTCTTTGGCAGTATGACAAGGAACACTCTCTTCCATACAAAAGTTGCCCTGACACTTCTCAAATCAGTCAGGCGAATACCGCATTTCGCGGCTTATTAGACGCGTGTTTTTTTTCCATAAAATGTTTCCAAAAACCACCTTGCATCTTTTAAACTGAAGGTCAGTGACAGGAACTATAAGTCTAGGGTGTGGGGTGGGCTGTAGCTCTCCCAATTACGTCCAATGCTGAGCCACTGAAACTAAAACAAGCTGCGTCTTATAAGCCACAAAATATGTATATATACACGTACATGTGTGTGAGCGTGTTAGATAGGAGTGAATGGAGATGAATAGTATTTGGGACCTGACGAGCTGTTGGAGTGTGAGCAGGGTAATATTTAGTGAAGGGATTCAGGGAAACTGGTTATTTTTATATAGCCAGACTTGAGTCCTGGAAATGAGCAGTACAATGCCTGCACTTTAAAGGAAGGGTTTGGGATATTGGCAGTTTGGAGGGATATGTTGTGTATCTCTATACATACACAAAAACAGTGATTATGTGTGAGTGAGGTGAAAGTGTTGAATGATAATGAAAGTATTTTCTTTTTGTGGATTTTCTTCCCTTTTGGGTCACCCTGCCTCGGTGGGAGACGGCCGACTTGTTAAAAAAAAAAAAAAACGTGTACATACATATACACGTACATACATATACATAACCACAATAACCATACACATAACCGCAATAAAACACCTCAGTTACTGGGAACGCTTGAAGTTCCTCAACCTGCACTCCCTAGAATGTAGGTGGGAGAGATACATGATTATATACACTTGGAAAATCCTAGAAAGATTAGTACCAAACTTGCACACGAAAATCACTCCCTATGAAAGCAAAAGACTTGACAGACGATGCAACATCCCCCAATGAAAAGCAGAGGTGCCACTAGTACATTAAGAGACAACACAATAAGTGTCAGGGGCCCAAGACTGTTTAACCGCCTCCCAGCATACATAAGGGGGATTACCAATACACCCCTGGCTGTCTCTAAGCAGGCACTGGACAGGCACCCAAAGTCAGTACCTGACCAACCAGGCTGTGGTTCGTACGTTGGGTTGTGTGCGGCTAACAGTAACAACCTGAGGCCTGGTCACAGACCAGACCGCAGGGGCACTGACCCCCAGAACCTTCTCCAGGTATACTCCAGGTGTGTGTGTGGTGTGTATATATATATTATATATATATTAATATATATATATTATATATATATATATATATATATATATATATATATATATAATATATATATATATATATATATATATATATATATATATATATATATATATATATATATATATATATATATATATATATATATATATTTATTTATTTATATTTATATACATACATACAAATGCAAAACTGTTGTGATACCACCCATTCACTGCAATCTTATTGTACACCCGGAGAGAGTTCCAGGGGTCAACACCCCCACAGCCCGGTCTGTGACCAGGCCTCATGGTGGATCAGTGCCAGATCAACCAGGCTGTTACTGCTGGCCGCATGCAATCCAACGTATGAACCACAGCCCGGCTGGTCAGGTACCAACTTTAGGTGCCTGTCCAGTGCCTGCTTGAAGACAGCCAGGTGTCTATTGATGATCCCCCTTATGTATGCTGGGAGGCAGTTGAACAATCTTGGGCCCCTGACACTTATTGTGTTGTCTCTTAACGTGCTAGTGGCACCCCTGCTTTTCATTGGGGGGATGTTGCATCGTCTGCTAAGTCTTTTGCTTTCATAGGAAGTGATTTTCCTGTGTAAGTTTGGTACTAATGCCTCTAGGATTTTCCAAGTGTATATAACCATGTATCTCTCCCGCCTGCCTTCTAGGGAGTACAGGTTTAGGAACTTCAAGCGTTCCCAGTAATTGAGGTGTTTTATCGCAGTTATGCGTGCCGTGAAGGTTCTCCATACATTTTCTGGGTCAGCAATTTCACCTGCCCTGAAAGGTGCTATTAATGTGCAGCAATATTCCAGCCTAGATAGAACAAGAGACCTGAAGAGTGTCAGGGGCTTGGCATCCCTGGTTTTGAAGGTTCTCATTATCCATGCTGTCATTTTTCTAGCAGATGCAACTGATACAGTGTTATGGTCCTTGAAGGTGAGATCCTCTGACATGATCAATCACAGGTCTTTGACATTAGTTTTTCACTCTATTGTGAGGTTGGAATTTGTTTTATACTCCGATGAAATTTTAATTTCCTCACATTTTCCATATCAGAGTAATTGAAATTTCTCATCATTGAACTTCATATTGTTTTCTGCAGCCCACTTAAAGATTTGGTAGATGTCCGCCTGGAGTCTTGCTGTGTCTTCAATGGAGGACACTGTCATGCAGATTCGGGTGTCATCTGCAAAGGAAGACACGGCACTGTGGCTTATCCCTGTCTATGTCCGATATGAGGATGAGGAACAAGATGGGAGCGAGTACTGTGCCTTGTGGAACAGAACTTTTCACCAAAGCCACCTTGGACTTTACTCTGTTGACTACTACTCTTTGTGTTCTATTTGTCAGGAAATTATAGATCCATCTACCAACTTTACCTGTTACACTGTTCCTTTATCACACATTTAGTGCGCTATTACACCATGGTCACAATTGTCAAAGGCTTTTGCAAAGTCTGTGTATATTACATCTGTATTCTGTTTCTCCTCTAGAGCATCCAGGACCTTGTTGTAGTGGTCCAGTAGTTGGGACAGACAGGAGTGACCTGCTCTAAACCCATGCTGCCCTGGGTTGTGTAACTGATGGGAATCTAGATGGGTGGCAGTCTTGCTTCTTAGAACTCTTTCAAAGATTTTTATGACATGGGATATTAGTGCTATTTGGTTTGTAGTTCTTTGCTATTGCTTTACTGCCCCCTTTGTGGAGTGGGGCTATATCTGTTGTTTCTAGTAACTGTGGAATGACCCCAGTGTCCATGCTCCCTCTAGATAGGATGTTAAAAGCACGTGATAGGGGTTTCTTGCAGTTCTTGATGAACACTGTGTTCCATGAGTCTAGGCCTGGGGCAGAGTGCTTGGGCATGTCATTTATTGCCTTTTCGAAGTCACTTGCAGTCAGGATAATATCAGATAGGTGTGTGTCTACCAAATTCTCTCTCTCACAAAAAAATTAATTTAGGTCTTCGATTCTCATTCTGGTTAGCGGCTCATTAAAAACCGAGTCATACTGGGACTTTAGTAGTTCACTCATTTCCTTGCTGTCATCTGTGTAGAACCCATCCCATTTAAGTAGTGGCCCAATACTGGATGTTGTTCTCAACTTTGATTTGGCATAAGAAATACTTTGGGTTTCTTTCAATTTCATTTATGGCTTTTAGTTCTTCCCGTGTTTCTTGACTCCTATAAGATTCCTTTAGCTTTAGTTCGATGTTTGCTATTTCTGTGACCAGTGTCTCCCTACGTATTTCAGATATATTGGCCTCTTGTAGCTGCTCTGTTATTCTTTGCCTTCGCCTGTATAGGGAGCGCCTGTCTCTTTCTAGTTTACATCTTCTCCTTTTCCTTAAGGGAATATGCCTTGAGCATACCTCAAGTGCCACAGAGTTAATTTGTTCTAGACATAGGTTAGGATCCATGTTGCTTAGGCTATCTTCCCAGTTTATATCATTTAGGACTTGGTTTACTTGGTCCCACCTTATGTTTATGTTATTGAACTTGAATTTGGTGAAGGCTCCCTCGTGACTGATGACATTTTGTTGGTCAGGGGCTCCCCGCATACATGTCTGGACCTCTGTTATGTTGTGATCTGAGTATATCTTTTTTTTTTTTTTTTTTGATATGATGACATTTCGTATCAGATCATCATTGTTAGTGAAGATGAGGTTCGGTGTATTCTCCAGTCAAGTAGGCTCTATTATTTGCTAGTTTAAGGTGAATTTGGTGCAGGGATTTAAAAGCTCGTGTGTGCGCGAGTATTCATCTGAGTTGCCTCCTGGTGTTATCTCTGCTACAACAGTATTTGCTATATTCCTCCATTTTAGGTGCTTTAGGTTGAAATCCCCCAGGAGCAAGATGTTGGGGGCAGGAGATGGAAGGTTTTCCAGACAGTGGTCAATTTTCAAAAGTTGCTTCTGGAATTGTTGGGGCGTTGCAGCCGGAGACTTGTAAACTACCACAATGACCAGGTTTTGGTTCTTGATCTTTACTGCTAAAACCTGAACTACATCATTTGAGGCATTTAGTAGTTCTGAACAAATAAGTGACTCTGTGATATACAGGCCAACCCCCCCCCCCCTCCTTTATGCCTGTTCACACTGTCACATCTGTATAGGCTGTAACCTAGGATCCATATTTTATTGTCTAAGTGATCATTTATTGCAGTTACAATAAAAGGAGACAGAATAAGGTAAACTGAGTTATTAACATTAAAGAGAGGATCAGATCATAGTAACAGGTACATATATGTTAGCTATACAAGAAATCACTCTCCTCCCTTTCTGTCCCTCAAGGAAGGTTCCTTGATGTTGGTGAGGGGCTCTTGATTTAGGGAATTGGATCTGTGCTCCAGTTCCCCGAATTAAGCCTGAATGCCTTCCACATCCCCTCCCAGGCGCTGTATAATCCTCCGGGTTTAGCGCTTCCCCCTTGATTATAATAATAATAATCCTCCCTTTCTGTAACTACATTCATTAGGTACCTTTTGACTGTCTTCTTAACTGGTTCATGGCATGACTGGCTATGACATGTGATGGCAGTGTTTCATTCCTTTACTGTTGTACAATAAAATGTGTTTGAAGCCTGACCACTGACTGTGGGTACTACAAAGTTGTCTTCTCTTCCCCTAATACTATACTTGCTTTAGTAAGTTTATTCAGGTACAGGTACACATAAATACAGTTAAATAAATTATCATACATAGCAGCATATGTTGATTACCTAGGATAACCCAAAAAGAAGTCAGACAAAATGACTTATTTCCACTGGGGTCCTTGACAAACCTGGCAGCAAGATATTCTGGACACTGTGAGCAATTTTATAAGTTTAACTTCAGTTGTTTTACTCTGTCTTATACCTGTAATAGATATAATTAGTGATATAAGGTATATATAAGGTGGTGTGGGACTCACTACCTCCCTGGACGGTCTTTATGTTGAGGTTTATAGAGCACTAACACCTGACGCCGTATTGAGCCTCACCTTCCAGTGTCCCGGACACAAACTTACATCAATATAAATAAGTTTATTCAGGTACAGGTACACATAAATACAGTTTTATAAATTATCATACATAGTAGTATATGTGTAGAATACCTAGGATAACCCAAAAAGTCAACTAAAGTGACTTAAGCATATCTATATAGAAAGAAACAAGGTCAGCAGATTGCATGATAATGTTACTGCTGGACTTGTGTACCTGTGTAATATTTTGACTACTGCCCATAGGATCGGTATGGGGTACATAATGTATATATATTAAAATAACTGCTAGACTAAGGCTAGCCTATAGGTGTCTTTTGCAGTGCAACTTGTACAGTGCAACTGGTGGTTGTAGCCACCAGGCCACCGGTGGCCTGGTGGCTACAGCTCTCGCTTCACACACGGAGGGCCCGGGTTCGATTCCCGGCGGGTGGAAACATTTCGACGCGTTTCCTTACACCTGTTGTCCTGTTCACCTAGCAGCAAATAGGTACCTGAGTGTTAGTCGACTGGTGTGGGTCGCATCCTGGGGGACAAGATTGATGACCACAATGGAAATAAGTTAGACAGTCCTCGATGACGCACTGACTGTCTTCGGTTATCCTGGGTGGCTAACCCTCCGGGGTTAAAAATCCGAACGAAATCTTATCTTATAAAATGTAAAGTGTGTGAACAGAGACAGGGCCATACGCTAGAACATTTGTTTAGTTGTGCACCCCATGCTTATCCTGTGAGTGGTAACGCATAACAATAAGGATTACTGAAGTCATAGTGAGTGTTTGTCAGACTGGGTTCCAGTCTCTAAAAACAGTTCATTTATCTAGTCGATGCAAAATGTGGATAAAACCTCAAGTTTTCAGACATCTTGTCGTTAACAATGAGGTGTTTTGCATATCCTGTAAGGTTTACATGGAGGTGTCTCTGAAAGGTTGGGTGTTTGGACACTCTAAGATATAATGCTCCAGTGTATGGACCTGTCTCTGTCCACACACATTGTATTTTAAGTCTTAGAGTGTCCAAACATCCAACCTTTCAGAGACACCTTCATGAAAGCCTCACAGGATATGGCAAACACCTTATTGTTAATGATAAAAAATCCGAAATCTTGAGGCTGTAGCTGCATTTTGCATCGACTAGATGGCCGCAACCCAATTATGACCAATGCTTCTTAATGGTAATAAGTTGCACATATTTTTTTAAGATTGTATTCCATACTGTATTGTGTACATTAACTATAACAAGTAATTGTATAATATAATGCAACAACGCTCAGAAGGGTCTAACTAAGACCTATTGTGACCTCTGTAATTCTATTTTTTTGCGCTGCTACTCAAAGAATGAGCATGGGGGGTTGCACAATAAATCAAAGTGGAAGAAGCTGACTATCGGTGATGCTTATCTAGACTGTCTGACCATCACTTCTGTGCCCCGTGGCCTGGTGGCTAAAGCTCTCGCTTGATACGGCGATGTCTGGGTTCGATTCCCAGCGAGGGTAGAAACATTGGACGTATTTCTTTACACCTGTTATCTATGTTCACCCATCAGTAAAAATGGGTACCTGGGAGTTAGTCGACTGGTATGAGTCGCATCCTGGGAAAAAACTGACCTAATTTGCCCGAAATGTTCTGCATAACAAGCGGTTTTCACTGATGTCAGCTAGGGCTGTATACCATGCATATGTACTTATAGTAACTATATAATTATTATCATTATTATTATTATTATTATTATTATTATTATTATTATTATTATTATTATTATTATTATTATTATTATTATTATTATTATTATTATTACTCCTGCTATTGTTGAGCTGCTGTTATTGTTGTTACTGTTGCAGTTGTTAGGGGTTAGAGTTATTAAGGGCCACCAAAACTTACTCTTTATTGAACCCTCTTTCCCAGGAGTCCTAGAAACATATGCTACCCAGATCTGAGCGGGAATTATAAAGGAAACAAAGTTTCCTCTAGAAAGAGAAACAGGAATATTAAGTTACCAATTAAGGCAGGCGAACCTTCTTGTCTAAACCCCGTCAGAGATAGATTTCTTAATCTACTTTAATATTTAATTTTTGTTTTGGTTGCTAAGGGCCACCACGGTACTGGCAGTAATCTTTTAAGCCTTGAGGACGGCTTAATGAGAGTCTCATGACAGACAGGGTGATCAAAACCATCCCCTTCCGAAGTTACTCACTGAAATATGTGCATCAGGGGCAAGGGGAAAAAACAGTCCCACTGTATAGCGTTGGCTAGGCTACTTTTGTTTTCTTATTGAAGGTTATAAATGTGCCTAGCGGGCAGAATAAGAAGAAAAAGGTATCCCAGAGAAAGAATAGGGAAAAATTATCATTGATGCTCAGGCAAGAGTAAGACGTCCTCATACCACCAAGGCAAACAGAGGAATGGCAAGACGCCCACACAACCCCTCACCCCCCTCAACAATAACAGGTTTACCCTGGGCCTAGCAGAAACTGATCTGTGGTGCCCCAACCATTGGCCAGAGGACAGAATTATGAGGACAAACGTTCCAGGGAGAGAAAACAAGGAAAATTCGTCGCTGATGCTCAAGGCAGAGCCAGACATCTCAATTTCTGAGTTAACATATCTGTATTCTACCAACGTCGGCGCTGAGGTAGTAGTAATAAGTTTATTGGAAGGCAAAAAATTACATCTCAGAGAGATGAAATAACTAAAGCTAACTCCACCCGCTTCCATCATACGCTCGAGTCCCCTTTCCGAACTGTCTGGCCATCATGTTGGTCGACCAACACAACAATTACACTCATGCTCTCTTCTCTCGTCTGTATTCGTCTATTTGCGCTTGTGGATGTTGTTCCAAGGGTCCCGACAATATTTACAAGCTTGTAAAGTAAAAGGACACAAGTGCAACTAAGATAAGATAAGATTTCGTTCGGATTTTTAACCCCGGAGGGTTAGCCACCCAGGATAACCCAAGAAAGTCAGTGCGTCATCGAGGACTGTCTAACTTATTTCCATTGGGGTCCTTAATCTTGTCCCCCAGGATGCGACCCACACCAGTCGACTAACACCCAGGTACCTATTTGCTGCTAGGTGAACAGGACAATAGGTGTAAGGAAACGTGTCGAATGTTTCTACCCGCCGGGAATCGAACCCGGGCCCTCCGTGTGTGAAGCGGGAGCTTTAGCCACCAGGCCACCGGGCCACACAATGTGACATTTTATTGTGGCAACGTTTCGCTCTCCAGGAGCTTTGTGTCCTTTTACTTTACATTTTGTCGGTAATTCTACCAACATTATTACATTTACAAGCTTGCTTGAGTACACTCCTAGGTAGGGTTCTGTATAATTTTCCATATAAAACCATTTTAAAAGTTTAATATTATAAATGAGGCATAAGAACACTTGTGGCTGAGGATTCGGCTCACAACCAAAAGGACCCGGGTCGAATCCTGAGCGAGGCTGGACTTATTGGCAAGACTCTATACACCTGTTAATGAAAAAGACACATGTGTAACACTTGGGTATCATTAGTGACGAAACGTTTCGCCTGGGAAACAGGGTTCTTCATAGTGGAGGCAGTGGAAGACCTGGCGAGGTAATTTTGACAAGTCTAGTCCCTCAGCCTGGAAAGATGTTCAGCCCATTAGCCTTCATTGAAGTGGTCAATTTCTTAGCCTGAGAATGAAGGCTTATATACCGGAGACAGGGGGGTGTTGCAGGAGTTGGAGACCGCATCACAAATGGGCGGGACCCACCTGTGATGCCACGTGAGAGTTCTTATGCAGTGAATTAATTTTCTCATCGTTCTCCGTATATTCTCTAATGCATTTATACCCATTATGTAGTGCGGAGACCAAAACTGAGCTGCATAATCTAAGTGAAGCCTTACTAATGATAAATGGAAAAATATGGTAATGCTGACAGTATGTTGATAAAAATACAGAAATCGAGGAACACTGCGACAGGCCTACTGTCCCGTAACTCAAGAAATCGTAATGACGGCAGTGAAGGGACTTGAGCTAGAGTTCGTCACGGCCACGCTAGCTGGAGATTCGTCTGTAAAAACTTGCATTTGTGGTCACAGAGGTGCCTGTGCTAACCTTCCTATGGTGTAGAAATATACCTAGTTGGATGAATCTTATTGTGGCTAGCTGGCCTAGTGGCTAACGCGACGGGCTGGAGTTTTGAGACTCTATGACCGCGGGTTCAATCCCGGCCGGGGGTATGGTTTTTCTACTGTCCCGTACTTGGCAGGTCCTTCTCAGATTCAGTCCTTCCCATCTATACATTTATTAAAAAACAGGGGAGCACTGCAGTAGATCTACTGGCTCATGCTATGCAAGTCTTATTCATACTCACATCCAACCACTCCCACTTATGTACCAAGTCAATATACTATTAAAACTGCACAAAGATCTTGCTTTTATAACATTACTTGGTTGTTTGTTCCACTCGTCTACAACTCTGTTGCAAACCAGTGCTCTTTCTGTATGTTTTCTGTATTTTAATTTATCCAACTTAAATCTGTAGCTGGGCGTGCTGTCTTAGTAAATTACTTGCAGCACTTTATTTATAACATCTTTAGTCCATAGAATAAAACATATGCATAATCAAGACATTTAGTGAAGGAAGAATCTCATCACTAATGGTTTAATAAATCCTAATACAGAAACAGCTAGAAAATATACTTTTTTATAGCAGAGAGATCGCTTGTCAGAAACAAGTGGGTGGGGCTTGAAACTGAGAGGAATCTGCCTAACATGGGCCAATAGACCCATTCCAGCTCATCTTTATTCTTGTTCGCTGATAGTGATGTGGTTGGGTAGAATCAATTTGGCTAGAATACTGGAGATAATGTATCTCTCGAGTGGTGTGTGGTTGTGTTAGAAATCATAATTATTCAGACTTTCAAGCACCGACGTCTCAGTAAAAAACACTTCTTGATTTCGATACATCTGTTCCTTTCCACCTCATGATATGGCCATGTATGCACGATGCTAGATACTGCGTTGTCCATATCACGGCT